TAGCCTGCAGAAGAGAACGCTGAGAGGAGACATGATGACAACCATGTATAAATATGTGAGGTGAAGTCACAGGGAGGAGGGAGCAAGCTTGTTTTCTGCTGCCCTGGAGACAAGGAAGCAATGGAACAATGACTTAAAACTACAGGAAAGGAGATTCTACTTGAACATTAGGAAGATCTTCCTGACTGTGAGAGCTGTTCAGCAGTGGAACTCTCTGCCCCAGAGTGTGATGGAGGCTCCTTTGGAGGCTTTTAAGCAGAGGTTGGATGGCCATCTATTGGTGCTTTGAATGCAATTTGCCTGCTTCTTGGCAAGGGGTTGGACTGGATGACCCACGAGATCTCTTCCAGCTCTATGAAACACTTCCACAACTCCCTGAAGGTTAACTACATTCGTTGTTGTACAATTGGCAGCAAAATCCCCGGTAAAAGTATAAAGTCCAATGCAAATAACAGAAGTCTATACAAAAATGTATATAACTACAAACCTGGAGTGTGGCAAAGTGGATACGAGATATATCGTCAAATACATCTCTGTATCCACTTGTATTGTTGACTATTGGATACAAAGAGCTACAGACTTCATATATAGTTGTTAATATTCTTTTAAATTCACTATCGTATAAACTAGAGTAAGGAAGCCATTTTCTTACTCTTCAAACATATTTTTGAGAAATATCCATACAGACAGTGGAGGCATTGCAATAGCTATGAGCTAAGTGTGGAGATTAAAAATACATAAAATTCCTCAGGAAGGGAAGGGGTTCCTATTGCAGTTAGATTTCAGGGTTTGAAAATGCAAGAAACTGCAGAGATGGCCAGTTGAAATGTGAATATAGCAAACCAGTTTAAAAGGTTTCTGGTGATTTTTCACTATCACAGGGCAAACATGTGATACGTAATAACATAATCAAACTCTGGTACTACAAAAGATAGGTTATAATATGTATGTTATTATTAAGCATTTAACTCCAATTGTAGTGAGTTATTTTTCTTTGTAGTCCACGTTACTTGCTGATAACTTTAGAAGAATTTACATTCAAAAGGATTCTCAGTTACATAAAATACCAGAACAGGAAAAGCAAGAAAATGAAAACATTGAAGGAGGAATAACCATGTGATTTCTAAGTTTGTATAAAAGTTGTCCAAAGATCCAGATAAAAGTAAAAGTAATTTGTAAATTTGTAAAAAGTAATTTGTAAAATTTCTCATTCATTCAAATGTTGCAAGCATTGTTAACATTTGTCTTATTTGTTCAATCACAGGCGGAGGAAAATTATCTTTCTGGGAATAAAGTTCATCTTTTAATGGTCAAAAGGGTTCATAACCCCTTTTTATTGGCCAAGAAACATGCATGCCCTTTAATATAAAGGAACTTTCCAATACTATATGTATGTGTAGACTCATTTCCTTCCAAAATGTGGCTACTATGGGACAACGCCAAAATGTATGCATTAAGGACACATTAACACTATTATATCTCCAGTGATTTATTGATTTAGAAATCCTTTTCTTTAATAGATGGTGTGGCAACCAATATCCAAAAGATCAATACATCTTTAGCCATACTAACTATGGATGTTAATTTGAAATGTGTATTCAATTCTCTCTTCCATTCTTTCCGTGAAGTTTATATTTAGTTTTAAAGATAACAGATACTGCTAAATGGTTCTGTTCCAACTTACCTGTCCAAACGCATCTTTATGAGCCAACAAGAGCTTTAAGATCCGCTGGGGGGGACCTGCTCTCGGTCCCACCCTCTTCTCAAGCAGGATTTGTGAGGATAAGAAACAGGGCCATCTCAGTGGTGGCCTCTTGGCTGTGAAATTCCCTCCCTAGTCACATTAGGCAGGTCCCATTCCTCCAGGTCTTTAGGAAAAAGCTGAAGACCTGGCCTTGTGCACAGGCATTTCGTGAATAGGGCATTATGGAATTAGACTTCAACAGCCTGAATGACTATAGATTTTGGAAAATGACCAAAGATGAGTATGAGATCAAGACTTGGCACTTTATATGGTTTTTAATCTGTTTTATTGATTATGTGTTTTAAGTGTTCATATGTTTTAACTATTTTATAATTCGATGGGATGTGTGTTATTGTTATGTCCATGTGGCATTGAATTTTGCTGGAATTTGTAAGGCATCTTGAGTCCCCTGTGAGGTGAAAAAGGCAGGGTAAAATTGAAGTAAATAAATTCATTAAATGTTGGCTTAGATACTTAGCCTCAATGTCTCTTAATATATAGGGAACCGCAGATTCACTTAAATGGCTGCAGGGCCAAATCTGGATTATAACAAATATTTCAGTTGTGGATATTGTCATTTGGCTGAAAGGTAGTTGAAAAGGCAAAAACTCATAATCAACACCAAGTTTCTGCTTTCAGGCAACCATCGATTATTAATCCACAGCTTTCACATAAATGGTTCCTTACCAATTTTCAAATCTGGGTTGCTCCACAAAGTCAACTTGGCTTGAACATAGTAAGTCAAAATGCAGGTGATTGTGATATTTGCCACAAAATTCTAACTACTCAAATTATTTTGATTGAAGTGGTATCTGGAGCTGGGGTAACAGTAAGACAACATTTTGATAGTAGGCATTTGTAAAAAACATATATTTATTAGATCATTTAAAAACAAATATCTTCAAGGTACAGATACTTCTGTACTGCAATTCACAACAATCAAATCTTTAATCACAGAGCTTTCTCCTTAAGTATTAATAATTGTTTGTGCTATAATAAAGACTTTTCAATAGAAAAGCATTCTTTTTGGTTAAAAGAGATCACATAGGAGTATCAAGTCAAATTGTGAATGAATGGATGAATCTGTGCTCAGAGAATTAAAATATTTTCAAATGTTACTTTGCCTAAACCTTCACGTGCAGCCTTCAGCACAAAGCGACTTCACATCACTTTTATTGACAATGCTGGTACTATTATTTTGGATTGCGAGATCCTGAGAGCACTTTTTGTAGCACTATGTTAGGACATTCCCATACTTTGTCATTTGCTGCAGGGATAAAAAATGTTTGCCTTCTGCAACTTTGAAAGTAGAAGGAACTCCTAGAATCTAGTCATTGCAGTAATTAACAGTTAAATTTAATGAATTCATTATTTTATCGCATATAAATAAATATGATCAAGTATATTTATCTTCTGACATTCATATTGCAAAAAAAATACATCATAAGAAAGAATACTGAGAAAATAAACATTTTATATTGCGTTAATAGCTGAGAAACAATTACGAGACTTGAACATTTTCACCTTGACATTAAGTCTAGTTGTGTCCAACTCTGGGGGTTGCTGCTCATCTTCATTTCTAAGCTGAAGAGCGGGCATTGTCTGTAGACACCTCCTAGGTCATGTGGCTGGCATGACTGCCTTTAACTTCCCGCTGGAGCGGTACTTGTTGATCTCACATTTGCATGTTTTCGAACTGCTAGGTTGGCAGAAGCTGTGGCTAACAGTGGGAGCTCACCCCGCTCACCAGATTTGAACCACCAACCTTTCAGTCAGTAAGTTCAGCTGCTCAGTGGTTTAACCCGCTGCATCACCGGGGGCTCCTTTTCATTACATATCATAGCTTTTAAAAAACTTAAGTTTGAAGAAGTCTAAACTAAGTGTTTTGCAACTTAAAAGACATCTATGAGGCAAAGTTGCCTCAATATGTTACTGGATATTTGTTGCCAGTATGAGCTAAATACTTTAAACATGGGGAGAAGGAGAACTGTTCTGATAGTCTGATCAGAGCACTTCTGAATGACATTTCTGTCAACTAAGTAGATAGCCCCCCCCCCCCCCGGCACAGAGAGTTAAACAGTTGAGCTGCTGAAGTTGCTGACCAAAAGGTCAGCAGTTAGAATCTGGGGAGTGGGGTGAGCTCCTGCTGTTAGCCCCAGCTTCTGCCAACCTAGATGTTCAAAAACATGCAGATGTGAGTGGGAAGGTAACTGTGCTCCATGCAGCCATGCTGACCACATGACCTTGGAGGTGTCTACAGAGAATGCCAGCTCTTCGGCTAAGAAATAGAGATTAGCATCCCACCACCCCCAAAGCGGGACATGACTAGATTTAATGTCAGGGAAAACCTTTACCTTTTACCTAAGTAGATGATATGGAATATCAGATACCTCAAGACAAATCCTGAAAATCATTGGTATCTGTGATATGCCTTTTAGATACATGTGCTTCCAAGGCAACAGTTCTCTAATGCAAACATCACAACAAATTAATAAATACAATAATCAAATACTTGTTCCATTTCCAGGCCTCTACATTCCAATGTGATAAACCGTCATCGTACGTGCTTTCCACGTAATTCAGCTATTACTGGAAGACAGAGCCATTTTAGCGGTTTTTATATAAAGCACGTTGAAAGGAGGGGCGTGAGAAATCTTTCCATTAATGGATTCATTTTTCTCCTTTACAAAGTCTTCACATAAACAAAAAGTAGTGCAACATAATGGAGCAATCAACACATGATCCGCATTAACCTTCATGGATTCCATTAGAACTAAACAAAAGTTCTAAGACTGTGTTTCATTCCATAACTTTCTTAATTTGAAAGATAGGTATTATTTACAAATCAACTGTGACCTTTATTGTCAGAAGAACAACACTGGTGTGAGCATTCTGCTAAAAACAACAAGAATTCAAAATGCATGATGTACATCTTCAAGAGAAACATGGGGTTTGCATGCAACTCAGTAGAAAACACATATTTCTAATTGTCTTAGAACCCCTTTGGCATAGTCGTTTGGGTTCACAGTGCTCTCTGGATGTAGGTGAACTACATTTCCCTTAAATCACTGTCAATTCATCCCAAATCCCTCCAGTTTTTTCTATTGGTCATGGGGGTACTGTGTGGGAAGTTTGGCCTAACTCTATCATTGGAGAGGTTCAGAATTCTCTTTGATTGTAGGTGAACTATAAATCCCAGCAGCTACAACTCTCCAATGTCGACAAAATTCACCACCCAACCCCAACCCCACCAGTATTCAAATTTTGGGCATATCAGGTATTTGTGCCAAATTTGGTCCAGTGAATGAAAACACATCCTACATATCAGATGTTTACATTACAATTCATAACAGTAGCAAGATTAGTTATGAAGTAGTAATGAAAATAATTTTATAGTTGGGGGTCACCACAACATGAGGAACTGTATTAAGGGGTCGCGGCATTCAAAAGATTGAGAACCACTGACTTAGAGAATATCTGAACTGTTTCCATTTTGCTAGCTTTAATCTGAAGGATAAAATCAATGACTTGTTTTTGTTTGCTCTCCAAATTGTACATATTTAATTAGTTCAGCATATAGGCAATTAATGCTAGTTTCTATAGTTCCAAAATTCTGAAATGTTAGGATGTATGCTGGATACTTTTATGAGTGCTTACTTACTGTGCAGCCGTGCTAAGAAACCCTGTTAGTAAATTCCAAGGATGCTTAAGAGGACATTAGCAAGAGTGGCCTGATATGAACTGGGCTCTACTGATGCACAATTGCACTCCTTTGCTGGTGTCCCAAAGCACAATGGGCGTTTACTGGATATGGACATTATGGAGATGCCCAAATCTAATTCCCACAGACATAAAGAAAGTCAGTGTTCAGGAAGACAGAAAATGCTAGGGCATGCCTAGTTGTTGTTAACAAAACAAAACATCTGGCACTGATGTTCTGGAAAATTAGGTCTCTGAAACCTACGCATATGTCATCTTCCCCAGGTAATTAGCTGGTACATATCCTTTTTGTCCTTTTGCTTCAGCCAGCCACCATTCTTTATTGCCACTCAGATCAGAAAAGCGAAGTATTCGAACTCGCTGGTATTCCTGAAGACTCAGTTCTTGCTGACTCCTTGCTTGAAATGCATGAACTGCATAGAAAGTCTGGGGAAGAGAAGAGAAAATAATTTTTTGATCTTCATTATCCATTCATCATGCCAGTTTGTCCCAAATTAAGTAATCAAACCTATCCTAAACAACAAAGATTAGAGGGTCCTTCCCTGGTTTCTATGACTCAAAATTTGTCAAAATACACCAACTATAGGTACAACTCTTCCTGTTTTAGACATGAAACTAGAAAACATAGCATGCAAGGAATCCGTCATTGAGTGTGTGTCAACTGTAAAATAAGATGCATGAAGCTGATTGGTTGGACAGTGCCTGGGGAGCAGGCTGAGCCTGGAATTTTTGGATAATGTTACATTTTTGTTCAGGCTTGAGCTATGCAAGTGCAGAGAGAGACAGTTTGAAAAGAGAAGCAGAGAGAGAGAGTTTGGAAAGTACTCTTGCTTCACGAGTGTTGTATGTCAGCCTGTGATTGTGTCTAATGATCAGGGTGCTTTGGATGATGGGAATGAAAATGTTGTTCATGTTCCAGTTGATTCCTCTGATGGGAATGGGATGCTGTCCATGAAGATGTTCCTGAAAGGAATGGGGAAGATGGTTTGGTTCCTGGGCCTGCTTTTAGAGATGTGGGGCCTGAATGCAGTTCAAATGATGAGTTAGAGAGGCCTGTATTGCTGCAAGGGGATTCTCAAGGTTTTGAGCCTGAGAAAGGCTCTGCGAAGTGTTTTTAGCCAGCAAAGACAACCAAACCAGCAATTACAGCTCTCAGCCAGATTACAGCAGAAGTTAGACATAAACCCAAAGTTAAGGAAAAATCCGTTCTTAGCTGTTTGGGAAATAGGGCAGGGATATAAGTGCCAAGTACAGAATCTAGCTTCAGATGAAGCAACGTTGGATTCACGTTAAGTTCTTTATGCCAAGTTCCTGGAATTTTGTTTGATTCCTGTTTTAAGTGCTTTTGCTGTCAATTGCCTTTGAACTCAAGCATTTGGTTTCATGGACTTAATTGGACTATTTCTCTATGGACTGATTGCTCCTTTTTTTTCTTCCCGATTAATTGGATTTACCTTTTACTGTGGATTACTTTTTATTGCTTTGGCTTTTATTAACTTCAATAAATTGCTTGCTATTTTAACTCAACAGTGTGGTATTTAAAGTGAGAGGGGATCCTGCTCTAGAGTGCAACAATGAGCCGCTGAAGGAGTTGATCCAACATGGACAATGAAAGACTATTTTAAATCTCTCAGAAAAGGACATTATGTGAGTTGGTGCAACTGATCACATTGTACATATGTTGTTCTGAATTAAGAAAAGCAAACTACTTGTTCTTTACTGTTCACCTGCATGGCATATTTTCTTTCTCTGGCAAGGCAGTGTGTGGGCTGATCGAACGTGAACTACATGTGGTTTATTTTACATTTCCCCACAATATTTACCTGTTGGTCATCTTCATAAAAAGTATCCACTTCTGTCCCATTAACTGATGCCTTTTCATTGAGGCTACTATGAGAAGAGCTGCTGCTGCTTCTCTTGTGTCCAAGAGGTTTGGCGTTGTGGTCATCCAGTTGATGCAGAGATACAAAAAGGCTGATATTATCAAAATCGCCATCACAAAGGCCAGTTTCCCCAGCATCTTTCTGTAATTTTGCTGGATTGTAGGGTTTCAGGAAGGAGGAATAAACATATCCTTTCAAAACTGAATGTGAAAAAAAATGTCAAATTAGAAAGGTTGCTTAAGAATTATATTTTACGTAATTTTTCATGCATTTGTCTTTTATTTAGAAAGGTAAAAACAAATAAACCCAGAGACAGAAAGATAGTAAAAACATGACAAAGTATAAATATTATATTAATTAATTAATGATGACTTAGTAAATTCCATCACAGTAGGAATCATTTTGCCCAGCACTCTCCATGGCGAATCCTTACTCACGCTAACAGGACGCACAACAATGTGAGCCATCAACTGTTCACAGAGCCCACTAAAATACCTACCTATAAGCTCTATACAATCCTGCAAGAATGATGGAAAGGAATATGTCAAATGTGGAGACAAAAAGCAAAACTTCTACTTTCCCTTTTTTATTTTTTTCCCTTTCTCTCTTCCTTTAAGTAGCAGATATTCCTAAGATCAGGATAGGAATTAACTTGGCTTATGTCTCCCTACCAGAGAAGGGATATCCTTATCAAATGACACTAAGGGTGCATCTCTACACTGTAGAATTAAGGAGTCATTGTTTTACAAAATCTTCAGATTTCTCTGTCAAAGAGTTCTGGTGCCAAATCACAAATCCCACAAATCCACAGCACTGAACCAAGCCACTCAAATTAATGTCAAGCAGCATTAATTCTACAGGTAAATGCACCCTGAAGCTCCAAAGATGACAACAAGACAAAGGAGGGGTAACATAACTTGTCAGAATATTATTGTTAGACTGCATTGCTGTGAGTTTTCTGGGCTGTCCGGCCATGCTCCAGAAGCATTCTCTCCTGGCATTTCACCCAAATCTATGGCAAGCATCCTCAGAGGTTGTAAGGTTTGTTGGAAACAAGGCAAGTGGGTTTTATATATCTGTGGAATAATGTCCAGGGAGAGAGAAAGAACTCTTGTCTGGTTGAGGCAAGTGTGAATGTTGCAATTGATCGCCTTGATTAGCATTGAATAGCTTTCCAGCTTCAAGGCTTGGCTGCTTCATGCCTGGGGGAATCCTTGGTTGGGAGGTGATTACCTGGCCCTAATTGTTTCTTGTCTAGAAATCCCATGCTTTTTGAGTATTGCTCTTTATTTACTATCTTGATTTTGGAGCTTTTTTAATACTGGTAGTCAGATTGTGTTCATTTTCACGGGGTTTCCTCCTTTCTGTTGAAATTGTCCACATGTCCACATTGAAATTGTTAGACTATTTGAATAATCGTATTCTTCATGAAAGAAATAACACAACTTTAGTGCTGAAGAGTGAGAAGGATAAGTCCTTCCCTAAACAACTGGGTTGCTTCTGTGAGAAAGAGGATGCTGGGCAAATGGGTGTTTATTTAGTAGGGTTCATTTTTTAATAAAATATTTATAGTGCATCTAATTATGAAGCAAAATATTATTTAACTATGAATCTAGCTCTGAATGCATGTAAGGTGGACATCTGTATGCTTTAACTGATTGTCTGAACTTATATGTTTATATCAATGTTCATTTTTAAAGAGCCATAATAAAATACACACACACACACATATGAGAACAATTATCAATCTGAGACAGCAATGAAATTATCACATTTCAGTGCGAAGGACAAGTGTGGAGGGCAGCCCAAAGCAATAAAGCATCATCAATGTAGGGTCCCAAGTGAAATGGATTTTGAAACTATGCCTCACTTTCTCATTCTGAGAAGGAGCTTGTCCTTGAGATTACTGGGATGCAGTCTATTGAGGCTTTCAGTGAATTGCCAACCTTGGTGGCTGTTTAAAGATGCATGATATATGACAACTCAAATCTGTCAACAGGTAAGCAGCAGCATTACTAGGTGGATCCTCTGAAAAGCTTCACATAGAGCACATGGCAGAAATGCAATTTATAAATCATTATAGCACAGTATTTGGGGCACGGTTGTATGCCATCAGCAAAATGTAAATTGACTGCCTGCCACTGCCTCTCCTGAGTAGTCATGATTTTAGCTGTCTAAAATATTTTAGGTGTTCTCAGGGAGTGACTCATTGCCCCAAATGCAAAGACAGAATGACATGAGGAAATTAGGAAATGAGGGAGGGAGGGAGGGAGGGAGGGAGGGAGAAAGAGAGAGAGAGAGAGAGAGAGAGAGAGAGAGAAAGAAAGAAAGAAAGAAAGAAAGAAAGAAAGAAAGAAAGAAGAAGGGGAAGGGGAAGGGAAGGGGAAGGAGGAGGAAGGGAAAGGAAAGGAAAGGAAAGGAAAGGAAAGGAAAGGAAAGGAAAGGAAAGGAAAGGAAAGGAAAGGAAAGGAAAGGAAAGGAAGGAAGGAAGAAAAGGCCACAGACCGGGCAAATCTAGATTTTACATTCTTACATGATACAACTAAAGCCTGATAGCTGTTTCTATGTATGTGCCATGAACTTACATCCAGTGTCAACAAGCCATCTGCTGGTACTTCCAAACGGATCCTTTTGCTCTACCACAGCTATTACTTCTCCTTCATACAGATCAATATCTAGTTCCTGCGTGGCATTGCATTTGCGCTTGGCTTGGTACAGCACGTCCGAATTGTATGTAGACATTATGACTGACTTGTGGTTTTCAGTCTGACGTGGAAATTCAGGCTGGAAGCAAAACAACAGGATGTTTGGAACAGATTTTCCACTACAATTGCACAGAAGAGCATGCAGTATGACTATGCACAAAACAATATATGTGATTTCACTCATTTATGTGGGACCCCATAAACAAGCTATACCCTCTTCTCAGTACCTCCATTGTCTGTCCTATTAAAAATATTAGGGTCACTATCATCTGCCATTTCACGTATCTATGCAAAGTTTGGGAACATATCTTCTATGTCTGGACTGTATTCAGTTACTGTCAGCCCTTCCAGCCCTTTCTGAAAACTCTATCTCATTTATACTACCTTAGGTAAGTAAAATGGGAACTGAATTGGGATTTAAATTCAGGACTATTCCAAATTTACAATATCTTTGATTAAAGGAGCATGTGTTCTAGTAGCCAACACAGACCTGGCACAAATGTAATAAAAACACCAAAGATATTATAGCATTTAGTTTGGCCATTTGTTCAGAATGAAAATGGCTCCTGTTCTGTGTGTATATTTGGGAGTATCTCATACACAAAAAGATTGTAAGAAGCAGCCAGGTAAGTTGTTCCCCTGCTGTGGGCCTTAGAGGAGGAAATCTACAGGCCATTGAAGAGATACTTTAAAGTCTTCTACCTCACCTGCTATATTTATTTATCGTGTCAGGAGCAACCAGACAGTTGTATTACATTTTTAACAAAACAAACAAACAGACAAAACACAAAGTTTGCAAACTTGGTAGTTGATTAAATGTCCTTTGGCCAGTATCTGGCCACTTGGAGTGCCTCTGGTGTTGCCACAAGAAGGTCCTCCATTGTGCATGTAGCAGGGCTCAGGTTGCATTGCAGCAGATGGTCAGTGGTTTGGTCTTCTGCACACTCGCATGTTGTGGATTCCACTTTGTAGCCCCATTTCTTAAGGTTGGCTCTGCATCTCGTGGTGCCAGAGCATAGTCTGTTCAGCGCCTTCCAAGTCACCCAGTCTTCTGTGTGCCCAGTGGGGAGTCTCTCATTTGGTATCAGCCATTGATTGAGGTTCTCGGTTTGAACCTGCCACTTTTGGACTCTCGCTTGCTGGGGTGTTCCAGCGAGTGTCTCTGTATATCTTAGAAAACTATTTCTTGATACCTAATAATTATAATACCTATAATTATTGCTCCCAACTCAGGTATTGCTATTTGCATTTTTAGAAATAAGAATTTAAAGTCAAATATGTCATAATCTCTGGATTTGTCTTCTGATAATGAGGAGGTGTGACCTCACATGAGGGCCATGCTTTAATATCAACACCCCTAAATCAAATCACTGGTGTAAACAAGCTTTGTGCAAAGATCAATTGGTAATTATAGGAGCTGCAGTGGCACAATGGGTTAGCCCTTGTGCCGGCTGAACTGCTAACCTGTAGGTCAGCGGTTCAAATCTGCAAGATGGGGTGAGCTCCCATCTGTCAGCCCCAGCTTCCCATGCAGGGACATGAGAGAAGCTCCCACAGGATGGTAACACATCTGTGCATCCCCTGGGCAACGTCTCTGCAGATAGCCAATTCTCTCACACCAGAAGTGACTTGCAGTTTCTCAAGTTGCTACTGGCATGGAAAAAAAGCTGGTAATTTATATGGTCAAAATGGAACATTTTCATAATGAGGAATTTATCTATATGTGTCTGCTTTTGCTGTTATCTCTGATCAGTGGTAAGGTATGGGTGTATAAGTTGCATGTTGACTTATGGCGACCTCACAGATATCAAAGGGTTTTCTTAGGAAACGAATGTCGAGAAGTTGTTTTTCTAGCTCCTTCTTCTCAAATATAGCCACCAGGACCTGGTATTTATTGGCCAAGTTACTGGTATGCAGTACAAAAAAGCATACCATGGAACTATGCACTAATTTGTATTCCAGGAAAAGAGCACTGGTTTGCAGAGCACTATTTGGTAAGATTGCAGTGCCAGACCGTATAAGGCATAATGCTGTATACATAATATCAACATTCACTGAGAGTTATTACTGCTTATACAGATGGTCCAATGTTCCTGAGCTTGTTCCTTTTCTCTATGAGGCTGTAAGATTAGTCTCCCATGAATAGTCATGTAAAGGAAATTTGCCTGCTTCTCCCATCTTAATGCACTTATCCTTCCCGTGTCAATGAAAGGAATCATTTTGAAGTCATCTTCCAACCTGACAAAGATACATAACAGGCCTCATCATCAGGCCAGACATAAGAAACTAGTAATCCATGGATTATACTATTTTATATATGGAATGACATGTTACAGATATGGGACAAGCAGGGCTTCTGCAAGGCTGTGGCTCCTAAGGCTACATTTTTACCAGATATGTCTAAATCTGAGCTTCGCCTCTTTCAAAAAAAAAAAAAAGCATCCTCCTATCACCATCAAAGGTATTTCATTTTCCTGTGCAATAAATAAATACATTAGAAGATTAGCAAGTACTGCACAGAAGTTGAGTAGGAAATATATCAGCAGATTGCATAAGCACAATTTGAAGCAAAGCTTGTAACAATGACATAGCCAAGGGCTGTAAAAACGAAACAGTGGAGGAGAAATGGCATAAGATTTCCTTGCAATCCTATGCTCAATTATTTGTGAAAGAGAGACAGACTAGGGCTAGGTCTTTATGGGCAAAATAAATGGTCACTTTGCAACTGCTACAGAATGTCTACAAGACATATGGCTGAAAACTTGGCTGTTCCAATGACTAAATGTATGATAATCCCTGACCAAACTCTGCACAGAATCATAGAATCAAAGAGTTGGAAGAGACCTCATGGGCCATCCAGTCCAACCCCCTGCCAAGAAGCGTTCAAATCACCCCTGACAGATGGCCATCCAGCCTCTGTTTAAAAGCTTCCAAAGAAGGAGCCTCCACCACACTCCGGGGCAGAGAGTTCCACTGCTGAACGGCTCTCACAGTCAGGAAGTTCTTCCTCATGTTCAGATGGAATCTCCTCTCTTGTAGTTTGAAGCCATTGTTCCGCATCCTAGTCTCCAAGGAAGCAGAAAACAAGCTTGCTCCCTCCTCCCTGTGGCTTCCTCTCACATATTTATACATGGCTATCATATCTCCTCTCAGCCTTCTCAGAAGCACTTTATTTTCCGGTTTGTGCAATTAAATCCTACCTCATCCCCCGGATCCCTTACCTGATATTTTACATTGCCCTATCTCCCAGTGTTTTAAAATTTTAATCTTTGAATTTGGCCCTGCCCACTGTGATCATTTTTAGCATTTTAAGATTTTGATTTTATATGGTTGTGTTGCTTATTTACATTGGTTTTGTATTTTATGTTACTTTATTTTCTGATTTTCTGTTGTGTTTTTATGCTATATTGTGTTTACTGTATTGATGGGCATGGCCTCATGTAAGCAGCCCCGAGACCTCTTGGGGAGATGGTGGTGGGGTATAAATAATAATAATAATTATTATTATTATTATTATTATTCGCAGCAGAAGCACTGCTTCCAGCTGTTATTCCAAAACAAGGGAGACAGAACTTACTCTGGAATGTTCACAAAGCCTTGGAGTGATCCTGCTGTTTTTTAGATGTAGACAGATGGAACCAGTTTGATCCAATGTTTACATATCAAAGGTATCACTGGTCAGAAGCAGCGCTGATTATTTGTATACGTGTAGCTGCAGCTCAGATGTGAAAGAGCCATGGACATTTTGGCATTCTTTATATATTTAAATCAATAGGATAGCTAATTAATACTAAGACTATAGTTTTAGTGGGAGTGGGATTCTATTATCCCACCCACACTAGTTTTAGTGGGAGTGGAATAATAGAATCAGGAAAGATGCAAATCATGGTCTAAGTTTTCAAAGGGTTGAGTGAGGTGAAACAGATTTTTCAGATCTTAACAGTGGTCAGTCAGTGTTGATGTGGGAAAGCAATAAATCTGCTTACCAAAAGTCATGTTTCCCTGGGTTCTTAACCCTATGAGAAGATACCTGTGCAGTAGTGAGGATACATGCAGTGTGCCATGAAGCCATTGTCTTTGTTCATACCTCTGAAATGAAAATCTCATCTGAACAAATCTTGTCAAGAAAACTGAATGACATGTATCTCTTCTGCTGCATCTACACTGTAGAATTAAGGCAGTTTGGTACCACTTTAACTTCCATGGCTCAATGCTATGGAATCAGGAGACTTCTGGTTTTACAACCTTGGTGGCACAGAGGGTTAAACAGCTGAGCTGCTGAACTTGCTGACTGAAAGGTTGGTGGTTCGAATCCGGGAAGCGGGCTGATCTCCCACAGTTAGGCCCAGGTTCTGCCAACCTAACAGTTCGAAAATATGCAAATGTGAGTAGATCAATAGGTACCACTTTTTGCAGGAAGGTAATGATGCTCCATTCAGTCATGCTGGCCACATGACCTTGGAGGCGTCTACAGACAATTCCGGTTCTTTGGCTTAGAAATGGAAATGTGTACCACCGCCCAGAGTCAAACACAACTAGACTTAATGTCAGGGGAAACCTTTACCTTTACCTTTATAGCCTTCTCCTGCTTAAGGGTCCTGGTGGCTTACTAAACTACAGCTCCCAAGGTTTCATGGCATTGAGCAATGGCAGCTCAAGTGATGTCAAACTGCATTAATTTTACAGTGTAGATGCACCCATTTAAGTCAGAAATTACTTGAAGACACACATCAGGGTCTGTGACTAGTTATCCATACATGATGTAAAAAATGAAACTTCGGTTTATTGGTATATCATTGTGATATGTTACAAACCTGGAGAGGTGTGCTCTTCTTTTTTTCAAAGCTTAGCTTTCTCTCAATGAAATTTATACTGTTGACTTCTTTGACGAAATTAAGATTGTGTACCTCTTCAAGTACCTGATGTTGAACCTCACTGATACTAGGGGAAGAGAGCTGCAGATTCAAAAGACATTTGAGATTTCATAATTAGTCACATACTACAAAAATACAGAAAGGATAGAAAGACAGATATGTAAGCATGTGCAAGCAAATACACGCATGAGAGATAGTCAAGTCACCCTGTCAACAACATGTTGAACAACATAAGCTTAAAAAGAACAGTTGAGCAAAAAGGCAAACTGTAGTCAATCTCAAAGTCTAGACATATCATTTTACAAGTAATATATAACAACATAACAACAACAACAAGAACAACAACAGCACTTTATTTATATTCCGCCCTATCTCCCCAAGAAGACTCATGGTGGATCACAGCACACATACACGGCAAACATTCAATGCCGTTTTGGACAGACAAGATAGAGACAGAACAGAAGGGAGGTATGTTGTGTTGACATCCAGCTTTTTGGCACCTTGGAGGTTGTGCTCGAATCCAGCCACAGGGGGGTGCAGTCACTCCATCCTCTATGATGAAGAGTCCTTCCTTTTGGTCATCGGACATTTTCTGATCTTTTCCTTTTATGGTGTCGTAAAATACTTTCCCTGCTTGTTTTAGTGGTACCTAATTTCTCTACTTACAGCTCTAAACTGTTTTTGAACTACTTAGGTAAACAGTGAGCTAGGCTGACAGTTGGGAGCTCATGCCGACCCGGTCTTCGAACAGGCAACCTTTTGGTTAGCAGATCTTATCATTGCTGGTGGTTTACCAGCTGTGCTAAAGCCCGGCCCTTTTACCTGTAACTAGTTCCTTTTCTAGTAAAAAGATGTAATAAAGCTTACATTTCAAAAATATTGTAAAAGTAATGTAAATAAAAAGGCAGTTTTGCATCACTTTGACATTCCAGATGAATGAACTCAATCGAGGAAGCAACAGAATGAATTCCAAGAAACTGAAAAAGGGACAGCATGTGATGATACAACAACAATTCTTTATTGATTAGTCAATTTTGACCATATCAAAACATGCAAAACATACAAAACATACACATACAGTAAAACCACATATGAACACAAGGCATCATGGCCTACTGGCCTGTCGACCCACTCCCAAATAATTGAGCAACATGTGATGATACTTTCAGCCCCCCTGCAGCAATGGGTTTATTTGTAACAGGTAGTTGTGTTAAGACCACGCTAGGATCCTTTCCATTGCTATTTGCAAAACATCTCACTGCTAGAACTGAGCTGCAGGTATCATCGCATACTGCCCATCTCCCTAGCACACAGGAAATCCTCCCACTGTCAGAAAAAAAGATAGCTTTGGGGAGCACTTTTATTCCTAGCAATGGTGTAATAACCATAAAAATGAATTCCAAATTTTATAATGTTGTAGGTCCGGCTTATGGTATTATAAACACTGAACAGGGTACCAGCCACTATTGCATGGGAGGGTTTTGATCTCATCCACAGTTCAACTGCATATGAATTCATGTCATTTGAATTCATGTATGTCATGGCATATCACCTACTAACAAAGAAGAGGAAAAGCTATTGTCCAAGTGGTACAAACCTTGGCTGACCCAATTTAAAAATGATGCCACTAGAGAGCACTGTCCACACATTGACAGAACTATGCTACAAGAAAAAAAGAATAAACCTAAGGACATGACAGTTTCTGAGACAGCATAACAGGGGCAAATGTCGCAGCACACAACATCAAACCTGTGCAACTCCCTTCTATGTATGTTTAAGTTAATATGTATTGAATACATCTTTTCATCTGGAGAGAGATACTACAAAATTCTGAAATATGGAGAATATCTATTAATAATATAGATTGGATATTCATTCAGCCTGTAGGTTAAACTGCTGAGCTGCTGAACTTTCTGACTGAAAGGTCGGCGGTTCAGATTTGGAGAGCAGGGTGAGCTCCTGCTGTTAGCCCCAGCTTCTGCCAACCTAGCAGTTTGAAAACATGCAAATGTAAATAGATCAATAGGTACCGCTCTGGCAGGAAGGTAACAGCACTCCATGAAGTCATGCCAGCCACATGACTACAGACAATGCCGGCTCTTCGGTTTAGAAATAGAGTGGAGCACCAACCCCCAAAGTCAGACACGACTAGACTTAATGTCAGGGGAAAACCTTTACCTTTATCTATTCATTCAGCAAATGTTAAATTTCTCATTTAAGTACAAACAAGGTGAAATTCTACACACACACACACACACACACACACCTCTTTATCAGCTCTGTTGTTTTTTAGGTGGCTACAGGGAAGACTCTGTTTCTTGTAAATACTGTACAGCAAAACAATGTGTGTAGTAAAGGTAAAGATTTCCCCTAACATTAAGTCTGGTCGTATCTGGCTCTGGAGGGTGGTACTCATCTCCATTTCGAAGCCAAAGAACCGGTGTTGACTGTAGACGCCTCCAAGGTCATGTAGCCGGCATGACTGCATGGAGCTTCGTTACCTTCCTACCAGAGCAGTATGTATTGATCTACTCACATTTACATGTTTTCAAATTGCTAGGTTGGCAGAAGCTGGGACTAACAATGGGAGCTCACCCCGCTCCCTGAATTCAAACTGCTGACCTTTCAATCAGCAAGTTCAGCCGTTCAGCAGTTTAACCCACTGCACCACTGTGGGAGTGGTGTGTAATAGTACATAATTACAATCAACAACAATTCAGCAGTTATGACTGTAGTTGTACTCACTGTTATAAGGGATTCTCTCCCAGAAAAAGACTCTAGTGAGGATGAAGTCATGTCCCTCAAGAGAGTGATAAGGCAACACAAGCAATTTATCACAATTCTCTTTGCTGCCTTGTTGAATATCTGCAGCTCCTCCACAAGCTGAGCATTGAGAGCCTCGTATTCTCTTCTGGCAAGATCCTTCTCATCCCCTGGTGTCTTTGGGTGGCAGCTATTATAGTCCAGCAGCTTGTCGTACCGCTTCTGGATTAGCTTCTGTGGCCCCAGGAACAGGGCCTGTAATGTGGACAGAGGGGCCAACACCATCTTGTTGACTTGATTTCTCTTGATGAGTACAAGATGAGGAGAGGGAAGCAAGGAAAGGAAACAGAACAAATATAATTTCATACCAAAGATGCATCATTCAAGTTCATGTGCATAACTATAACCTGCACATGCAAAAATTAGAATACAAGAATCATTGTATTTACAGGAAATACCAGTATTGCACTGTACTTGTGTTAAATCATTTTTAAATTACTGTAGAAAAAAACTTCATAGCTTTGAAAAATAAGTATTCAGTAAATACAATACAACTGCTGTATCAATGAGGCCAGTATACACAGTTCCATTTATCCATGTCTGACAAAATATATTCTCTCTGGGCATGTTCTAGGTCATCTAGCACGACTCTATGGGATTCCTGGCTGAAAGCCCTTCATTTCAATTTATTTATTTATTTATTTATTTACGACATTTATATGCCGCCCTTCTCACCCCGAAGGACTCAGAGTGGCTTACAAGATATATATACATACAATATATTATATTATTAGCATAGTACAATATCAGTATTATATATTACTATATTGTACTATACCATTATATTGTAATATTATTAGTAATATTACATGTAATATAAATATATAATTATAATATTGTATTATTGTTGTTGTTGTTCATTCATTCAGTCGTCTCCGACTCTTCGTGACTTCATGGACCAGCCCACGCCAGAGCTCCCTGTCGGCCGTCACCACCCCCAGCTCCTTCAAGGTCAGTCCAGTCACTTCAAGGATGCCATCCATCCATCTTGCCCTTGGTCGGCCCCTCTTCCTTTTGCTTCCACTTTCCCCAGCATAATTGTCTTCTCTAGGCTTTGCTGTCTCCTCATGATGTGGCCAAAGTACTTCAACTTTGTCTCTAGTATCCTTCCCTCCAGTGAGCATTCGGGCTTTATTTCCTGGAGGATGGACTGGTTGGATCTTCTCGCAGTCCAAGGCACTCTCAGAACTTTCCTCCAACACCACAGCTCAAAAGCATCGATCTTCCTTCGCTCAGCCTTCCCTAAAGTCCAGCTCTCACATCCGTAGGTGACTACAGGGAATACCATGGCTTTGACTAGGCGGATCTTTGTTGCCAGTCTGATGTCTCTACTCTTTACTATTTTATCGAGACTGGACATTGCGCTCCTCCCAAGAAGTAAGCGTCTTCTGATTTCCTGGCCACAGTCTGCATCTGCAGTAATCTTTGCACCTAGAAATACAAAGTCTGTCACGGCCTCCACATTTTCTCCCTCTATTTTCCAGTTGTCAATCATTCTTGTTGCCATAATCTTGGTTTTTTTTATGTTTAGCTGCAACCTGGCTTTTGCGCTTTCTTCTTTCACCTTGATTAGAAGGCTCTTCAGCTTATACTACTACTCGCTTAGTAGTATTATATTGTATTACATTATAATGTTATAAATATTATATGCATATACAATATATTATATTATATTATATTATATTATATTATATTATATTATATTATATTATATTATATTATATTATTAGTAAAGTACAGGATACAAGATGGAAGTGTCTTCTGCCTTTTCACAAAGCTAAATTGACTAGTCATTTTTTCATTCCAGAAAACCTGGCAGGATTATCATGAAAACCCTGCCTTTCCACTAAAGATCATAATGTGGCATAATTTATGTCACAACATACCTGTGAGGTAGGTTTGGCTGAAAGACACAAAAAGGCCAGGCTTACCCAGTAAGCATTATGACTAAGCAGAAATATTAACCAAGGTCTTCCTAGCTTAAGACCAAGACGTTAACGGCTATACTGCAATATACACTATAGAGTCTTCTCTGTCTTTTCTCTTACTGGTGTGTAGGGCGAGATTTTTGATATGCAGCGAGATCAGAACAAGTATAATAATTGGGCTAAAACCAGCTCTATTCCTTTTGGGTGATAGGGGGTTTATCAATAAAGTTTAATTATTTTTACTCCTCCTCTTCCTTCTAGATTTTAGCAACCATGTATTGAAACATAACTCTGTATCTCTAGCCCTTGGATCAAATTTCAAGAACGTACAAATCCTTCATTGGTGTTTGCAGCATTCATCGGTGATTCTGAAGAGCCGGTTTCCTCACTTTCTCTCTCATGTAAAAGCTTGTGAAGTTCCGTTTCACATGTGGCAGCCAAAAGTGTAGAATCCTGAAATGAATATAATGAGTTAAAAGGAAAAATATTGAGCATACACCCCAAATGGCACATATTGATAAGCCATTGTTTGTTTTAACCATGGTTTGTTGCTTAAGATACCAACTACATGAAAGACAATCAACAGCAACAATTTTAAAAACACATCCTGTAGTTGGTCTTCCCCACTTTTGGTTTGTTTCTCTCTCAGCTTCTATTTCAATAAAGGCATCTGGAGAAACAAGCCATGCCTATAATTTTGGATGTCACAACAAGCCATGGTTTAAACAAGTCAAAATTCATAAGCTTAAAAATATGATTTCAGATTGTGGCTGGTTAAGAAATCATTGTCTGATTCTAGTGAACAAAACTACAGGTTGTTGCAACACAAAAACAGCTATTTTGTTTGTTTAACACATGTATGCTTCTTAGTTAAGCACTGAAGTGTCTCAAAATATTTCTGGTATTCTAACAGCACAATACTCTGATTGGACATGCAAAGTACTGAAAGCATAACTTTTCTGTAAAAATCATTTTACTGTAAGCTGCCTTCAGTCCCAACTCTGGGAGGCAAGTGAGATGATGGTGACGATGATGATGATGACGACGACAACAACAACCAACAACTATGATGATTTCCCCAGAGTCAAACTAACTGAAATCTGATCTTCACATAATTATGCAACTTGAGAACTAATGTTATAATTGGGTCCAATACTTTTTTTCCAGTTGTATTTTGGCATTAAATAAATAAATCACAGTAGATGCCAGGTAGAAACCATAGCTTCCTGACAAAAGGACTCCAAACATGTTTCATACTTTCTAATAGACGGTCAATATTTGTTTGCTACTTGTGGACAGCAAGTGTGATGGTGGGGAGGGGAAACTTGTACTCACCTTCAACTGCTGCAGAGACAATGAAATATTCTTCACACACAATTTGACTGTTTTTTCTAAACTTCTGAACAACTTCTCTTCCTTATTAAAAGTTTCATCTTTCACCTAAAATACATAGTAACATTATGATTAGAGTAAGAATATTCTTAATGTTGATAGAAAAATTTGAATCATAGAGTGGGAAATGGTCCCATGAACCATCAGGTTCAACCCTCTACTCAATGCAGGATTCCCAGCTAAAGCATGCAAAGAATTAGAGCCCACTACTTCCACTCCCAGATTGTTCTTAGGGCTTCATACGATGCAGGCTTCCCTTTGTTTCTATACACTTTAAAAGCAATGCATTTGGGTTTTAAAGTATATAGAAACAGAGAGGGAGATAAGGTTGAACACTGTAAAAGCCATCCACTGCATGGATATCAGCTTCCTCCCAGTAGACTCAAATCAAGGAAAAGCTTCATGAGAACCACCACTCCTCTTAACATTCCCCCAGCAACAGCAAGAGTATCCCTCTGGGCAACTAAACCAGGAAATCCCAATTGGATAGCCCCTCAAGAGGGTTTGCCTCCCGGGGCAAACCAAAAATGGGCAACTTGGAAATCCCTGAACAGACTCAGAAGTGGAGTGGGCAGATCAAAAGACAACCTGGCAAAATGGCACTACCTAGAAGAATCCTCCACCTTGTGCAACTGTGGGGCAGAACAGAGAAATCCACATCTGTATGCTTGTCTGCAATGTCCTGCCTCATGTACAGAGGAAGAATTGTTTGAGGCTACAGATAATGTGGTCACTGGTGCCCGTTTTTGGTCAAAAGATATTTAGCTGCTTGTGTTCCTTCTATTTTTATCAGTTTTATACTAATTTATGCAAAGCTTTTGATACAAAATAAATAAATATACACTTTAAAACCAGAGTCTCGTGGAGCCCAAAATATGACGCAAAAGACATTCCATTTTTTGCTGATGGTACTCCATCTTTACAGTGTTTAGAAATAGGAGGACTGTAATGTTGAGGATAAATTGACTTCACTGCTCTCCCAGCACATAGAAATGGCTAAAACTGGGTGGAAACTGGAACTATTGGATTTTAAGGTGGAACAGGAACTGCTGTTATTTTTTTCCTTTTAAAATGGAACGTTAAGAAGATGATTCTGTCTGCTCACCCTCCTCTTTGTGGGATGAGGTCCTTAGTGTCAGGAAGTTCCTTCTAATGTTTGACTGAAATCCTGTAACTTAAAACCGTTAGACCTCTAGGGGGCAGTGAAGAATAAATACTGAACAACATACTTCTGCATTCTTTCTATTGGACCTAGAAACATGCATTCATTGTGTTATGTGAACTGACTATTATGTGGGGTGCGGGGGGGGGGGGGGGGGGGGGGGGCTGTGGAAATCTGACTTATATTCTCTCTCTGTCTTCTTCCCGTCCTCTGTGACAATATCAATGGAGAAAATAATAGCCTTTCGTTTTAATTTTTAGTTGACCACAACAGTATTCTCCAGGAACTGTTTTCAAAATTGCTGCAATTGTTCTGTACTCGATTTTTATTGCTGTCTTATCTGAAAGTACAGAGATTCTCAAGATGTTGCTGTACTGTTCTAATTTTCTTTGATGTCACGTTGGATATTTGTCTAGAATTACAGAATAAATATCTCAAGCTGACACACTCATGTAAAAATAAGGCTGTGATCGTGAAGGAGCATTAAATGGAGGGAGAGACATCACCTGAGAGCTGAGGCAGCACAAAAATTCAGCTCAGTGCAGCCATGCAAAAAGGTGAACTTCCTTAATGAGATACAAAACCTTACATGAAAAAGCAGGAAGCAGAATGAAAACAATGACAGATTACAGAGGACAGTGTAGATTGTTAGGTCTTTCTTTGTATGCAAGCACATACAGCGCACACATGTATTATGCTGGTTTGAATGCATTCTTAGAAGGGGAAAAAACATCCTCTACAAAGCCTGACAGATATAACTCAGTGTGATAGAAAGGCCAACAATATATTAAAGAACCATGGAGTTTATTTTATTATGCTCACATTGGCTTTCATGTTTATGATGCTCTCTTAGCTTACATAAAAATGAATACGGGCAACACATCATTTTATGCCATACATTTATTTGTCCCTGTGCTCATTACTGTACATCTGTAGAGTTAATATGTGCACCAGGATTTGAGAAGCTCTGGTTATTTCTATGGTTCAGCCATACTTGTTATGATTTGAAAAAAGGTTGGTATTTTTTATTTTTTCCTGTTTTCTTTCCTTGTGTATTACAACAAATAAAGCAACCTTGGAAATGTCTTATCTGATCTTCTCATCTAATGCCAAAGGAGTCGCTGCACATGTCAGAAATGGGGAATGTGAGCCACTCTGAACAGCTAATTAAGGCGGAAAAGATGCCCAGGCATTCAAAAAAGCATTGCTTTCTCTCCCCAACTTCTCAAGTACTTCTTCAGTATTTGAAATTGGAAAGTGTTAACTAAAAGGAACACCAAAAGAAAGAGGCCCTTCTCTCTGAATAGAACTAGCAGCTACTTTGCATCATGTTTTTTTTTTAAAAAAAAAACAACAACAACACACACACATTTTGCATTGGAATTATGTGTGTGCTGCCAGGGTCTAGTTAGCACCTGCATTTTTGGATGATAAATAATTCACCGATTGTTTGGAAGGGAGTAGGAAAAGATTCACATTTTCTCCAAACAGCACTCATTCTAGAGCTTGGAGTTGTTGTACCCAGAGTCTATGGTCTGGATGAGGATGGGGAATGGTGTGAGGATGAGGGGCAAAATTTCCCCAGATGATCCCCCCCCCCCAAAGTCATCCCACCTCACAGCTAACCCAAATAATTGAAGGGGTTCCTCTATAGTGCCTTTTGAAACAGAAAAAGGAAGTGTCGTGATGTTTCCTTGTTACCATGGAGCATTGCAATACACCAAAATACCCCAGGAGTCATTCTGGACCATACTCTGACTTATAAGAAGCACTGCTTGAATATCAAGCAAAAAGTGGGTGCTAGAAATATCCTATGAAAGCTGACTGACACAACCTGGGGATCACAACCAGATACAGTGAAGACATCTGCCCTTGCACTTTGCTACTCTGCTGCTGAATATGCATGCCCGGTGTGGAATACATCACATCGTGTTAAAGCAGTGGATGTGGCTCTTAATGAGACATGCCACATTATCATAGGATGTCTATGCCCAACACTGGAGAAATTATACTGTTTAGCCAATATTGCACCACCTGACATCAATCGGGAAGTAGCAGCCAATAATAAAAGGACCAAGGCAGTGACACCTTCGGCCCATCCTCTGTTTGGATATCAGCCAGCATGCCAACGCCTTAAATCAAGAAACAGCTTTCTAAGATCTACAGAGATATTCGCAGAAACACCTCAGCAAGCAAGAGTCCAAAAGTGGCAGGCTAAAACCGGAACCTCAAGCCATGGCTGATACAGAATTAGAGACTCCCCCCTGGGCACACAGAAGACTGAGCAACTTGGAAGGTGATGAACAGGCTGCATTCTAGGACCACAAGAGGCAGAGCTAACCTTAAGAAATGGGGCTACAAAGTAGAGTCCACAACATGCAAGTGTGGAGAAGAGCAAACCACAGACCACCTACTACAATGCAACCTGAGCCCTGCCACATGCACAATGGAGGACCTTCTTAGAGGAACTCCAGAGGCACTCCAAGTGCCCTGCTTCTGGTCAAAGGACATTTAGCATAGAGATTTATTCTGATGTCCATTTTAACACTGTCACATATTAAGAATTCAGTGGATACAGCAGATTTTTGCACATAAACACATGCTGTCTTTTCCTATCCAATGGCAGCACTAGGTCACAGCAAGATGTATTTTCTTTACTCTGGACAGCAAGACAGATTTATTTTCACATTAAAAACATTTTGCCTTGAAGGGAAAACCTCATTGCCCTTAATAATCAGTATGTCGATATTTATGAAGTCAAGCAGAGTAAATAACCTATTGTGTTCCTTGGCTACTGTAACTTGTGCCAGTGCACTGCTTTTGTGGAACACTCCTGATCTGTACCAATTTCCTTGTGAGAAAAGATTGTGACAGCAAATAATTCAGAAGATCTCAATTACTACAATTACTACAATTATTTAAACCAAAGCAAAGGTTGGGCACATAAACAATATTCTCACTAAAAATATAAGATTGCACGCTAGTTTTCTATGTAATCTTAATAATTGTCTATTCCAGTTAAGGAATTCTGGAGGATGTAATTCCAAATTTACTTTTTCCACATCATAACCTAGATGTTATTCTACCACCATATTTTCAAATTTTATGATTCTGTTAGCACCCAAACCTTCTAATAAGAGCTGACTACACAAATATATCTGTCCCCAGACATTTTAATCTATTTAAATATTTATTTCCTGTCCCCTAGCCAACTAGGGTTTTCAAGGTGAGGCATCGCGGCTTGCTAGTTGTAGCAGGATTCAGAGCCGAGACAGTGAAACCCCTCCATCAGTGTGACTGGGACCTGCTGTCAGTTGACATCTCCATTAGCGCAATCATCTTCTGCCATTACCATTTCATCTACCTTTTGCAGATGATACCTGAAAATGGTGATCCAGCTTGACATACGGAACCAGACAGTCATCCATAAAAATTTTACATGTGTAAAAAAAATCTCAGGGCTTAGGACCAAATATCATGACATCAACCACATAACATTGTCCCACACACATAGGATCTAATTTACTCGGACTGCAATTAGATTGTGTTATCCCAACATAGAGATATTGCTCCAGGTATAAGCCAAGAATACACTTTTCGGGGATCTAAAACAGCACTTTGTAACACAGAATTGTTGATATAGTGATGTCTGGATTTTTCTATTCCCCCCCCCCCCACCCCATTCCTTTGTATCATGTTCCTCACAAAAACATGTAAACCATTTTAAGTGCTGGAGAAAGAGGAGATATATTAAAATGGCAAAAAACAAAGATATGCAGTCAGTCCTCTGTACTCATGGGTTCTGCCTCCATGGATTCAATCCTCCATAACTTGAAAACATTTTCAAAATCCAAAAAATAAACTTTAATTTTCCAATTTTATATAAGAGATAATATTGTCTGTGTCATTGAATTTTTGTATGCATGGAGGTGGGAGGCGATCGTGTAACCAAATTCCAATGGATACCAAGGGCCCACTTTACAGAGAATCATAGATTTGGAAGAGCCCACATGGAACATCCAGTCCAAGCCCCTGCCAAGCAAAAAAAGCACAACCAAAGCACCCCAACAGAGGGCCATCCAGCCTCTATTCAATAATACATACATGCAATATTTAGGAAAATCAGAATCACTGAATCAGTTCTGAGTGCAAAATTTATTTTTCTGTGGATCTGAATAAATAATTGTGCAACCATTTACAAAACCTTAAGTAAAAAATGAATCAATGAAATACCTGAAGTTCTCCTCCAGTCAAAATTTTCAGGTGGCCCGTGACTCTTTTGGACTTCTTACTAATTGAGTGAATATTTAGTCTTGAAAATTTCTCTTTCAGAGATTCATCTTCATCATTTTTCTTATATTTCAACACTGAAAAGTAGACCAGTCATGCACTAATAAGAGTTTGTATTCATATGGCACCTATTCTTTCTTTCTTTAAATACCACAACAGATCAGAGAGAGAGAGAAAAGAGAGAGATGTTACTACTACTCACTGTACTTACACAAATTGCAAAGATGATGAAAACTTTTTATAGCCATATAAGCTTTTAAAAGTCTATCTCTCTAATTGCTCCTGTTGTTTGCAGTAGCACCAAAGATGCTATTTACTGCGAAAGATATAATCCTGTGTGCTATAATAATTTCCGTGCCTTTGCAGTCTAAATCCCTCATTAGTTTGCCTGGAATGTCCTCAAACATCACTCACACACCTAAGTTTGATAGATGCTTTAAAGAAATTCAATCATCAAAAAGTGGACCAGAAACAAATTTAGTATTCCAGATGACTTCCCACTAGAGAAGACTAATATAACAGAACTGAATTTAACTGTTTTATTCTGGAATGTAATGACTAAGGGCACTTTCAGACAACACTAAACCATGGGTTTTAAACAGGGGCAAAAAATTCCGGGACTTCAGAAGAGGTCCACAACAGACCTGTCGGTCCCGGGATTTCTGCCTCCGCTGTCCAGACTTGATGCTTTGTTGCAAGATTTAGAGGATGCCAAGATGGCTGCTGAAGGACTTCTGCCAGAAACTTTGGCAGTATTTTTAAAAAACCTCAAGATGCGGATATGCCTATATGTGAAGAATCACTGCAAAAGTTCTGTTCTTTGTCCTGGTTAGAGAAACTGTGCCCTCCAGACGTTTCATGAAGTTTCTGGCACACAAACAAAGCTTTTGCCTTCTACTCAAGTGTCATCTTCCTTTTAGGAACCAACCAACTAAAACAAGCATCGGAAACCCAAGAACAAACCTAGATTTAAAAAATCCTGTGATTTCCAATTGCAGGGACATACAGACATTCAAATATCCGCATATTTGACTCAAAACTGCAATATTCCCACACCTGGAAATCTCACATTTTTTGCCTTTTGTAGCTATTGTTTCCGCATTTACAGGGAACAGCGTCTGGCCACCCTCTTTTTGCAGTGAAAGCTCCTGGGATAAAGGAACTGTCTGGATGGTCCCTTAGCAAATGAAAACTCAAGCATAATGGTGGTTAGCTACAATAGTCAAAAGAAACTAATATCGAGAGAGACAAAACACTTTTGAATACTAGAATGAAAGGGTGGCCATTATATTTATGACTAGTTTGTCAACTTCTAGATAAAGGTTGGGAAACCCTGGAGTCAAGCACAGTCCTTCTAAAGAAGATACATTCCTGGATCTACAAGGTCTGAGCACGGCAGCTGATGATAGGGTAACATGGAGGTTTCTTATCCATAGGGTCACCATAAACAGAAGTCAGCTAGATGGTAGTTACTGTCAAGATGACAAATGTCAGTGTGCTTTTCTTCTAAATACTGTGATTTTTATTGCGTTTGGAAAAGTCCTCGATACATTTATGGGGAAAAAGATGTCAACATGACACTCTAAACTACAGGTAACTTGAAATGGGACTGGAATCTTTGAGTCTCTTCAAATCCACACTAGAGGAAAGGAGAGGAATGATCACATAGACTAGGCATGATCTAGTTAATTATTCTATTCAGTTTGATTCCAGTAGATCTAGTCTATGTCCATCTAAGTCTAGATCCAATCCAATATGAACAATTCTAATGCTGTTGAAGGTTTTCGGGGCTGGAATCATTGGGTTGCTGTGAGTTTTCCGGGCTGTATGACCATGTTCCAGAAGCATTCTCTCCTGACGTTTCTCCTGACTTTCAATGCTAATCAAGATAGCCAATTGCAACATTCACACTTGCCTCCAGCAGACAAGAGTTCTTTCTCCAACCCTGAATATTCCACAGATATATAAACCCCACTTACCTAGTTTACAACAGACATCACAACGTCTGAGGATGCCTGCCATAGATGTGGGCAAAACATCAGGCAAGAAAGCTTCTGGAGGGTGGCCATACAACCCAGAAAACTCACAGCAACCCACCAATTCTAGTGTCATAGACTTGATATTTCTGACAATGTTTGCGTCCAGGCATTTAACACAATCACCTTGCCTTTGAATATACTTCTATTAACAATGTTAGCTGGTATCTGTACATTACAATCAGAACACTTTGTACAAACTTTTTCACATTTAATGAAAGAACCTTCTATACCAGCAGAAGACTTCTTTGAATGTATTTCTGTATAGTCCCCTGCTGTTGCTCCATAGAGTTAACCTTCTCTTACCTATATCCTTTCTTCTTTTAAGTTCATTGATGTTCATAGTCATGGCTTTCACAGTAGCCAAAGCTTCCTGCAGCGCTCGGTGGTCTGGGTGAGACATGGGTGTTGTATTCAAGAGTTCACAGAGTAATAATGGATATTTCATCACTCGTTGTATCGGTTTTATCATCAGAGATCCCATGTCCAGTAGGTTTGGCTTTCCTCTAAAATTCAAACAAAGCCATATTAAATAAACAAATGAATTCCTGAAAGTGCAGAGAGGAAGAAATTATTTCCGTGTAACAAAACCATGCACAGCAATATGTACATATGAGATATCATGGCTCCTTTTAGAATTACAAATTCGGCTGCTGAAAGAATAAGCTCTTGGTGGTGGAGGAGAAACAACTGTTATCATGAATGTTGTATCATTATAACTTTTTTTTCATGTCAGGAGTGACTTGAGAAACTGCAAGTCGCTTCTATTGTCAGAGAATTGGCCAACTGCAAGGACGTTTCCCAGGGGACGCCTGGGTGTTTTGATGTTTTACCATCCTTTTGGGAGGCTTCTCTCATGTCCCCACATGGGGAGCTGGAGCTGACAGAAGGGGTTTAACCCACTCTCGATATTTTTAAAACTGCTGACCTTTTGGTCAGCAATCCCACCAGCACAAGGCTTTACCCATTGCACCACCGGGGGCTCCTTATAACTGAAGAAACACATGCTGCAATATTTTAAAAAATATTTCAAATCAATCTGACAATGACATGCACCTTAAAGAAGGAGAACATAGGACACCATGGCCCCATCTACACTGCCATATAATGCAGTTTCATAATGCAGTTTAACTTCATTGCACTACATTATATGAGTCTACACTGCCTTATAATGCAATGGAATCAATTAAACTGCATTATGTAAGTCTACACTGAGCATACAATGAGGTTGAAACTCCGTTATATCACAGTTTAGATGTGACATGTGTCTAAACTTATGTGTAGGTGTGCTCCACTAATAAGGTATCGGGGAAATTTAGCATTTTCTATGTGCTTAATTCTGTGTGCATGGTTCCTGCATTATGTGCAATCCATACTTTGTCTCATGCTCTTGAGTTTTCAGCTTGGAATAAAAAAAGGTTATGATGTTCATTCTCAGAGTAGCACCACTTTAGGTATGAAGACAATATGCTATCTTGTGTGGGAAGCATTGCTTTGGCAGATGAAGGAATTTGGATGTTGATATATCCAACTTCTGAACCAAAGGAGTATTATTTTTTCAGGTGTTCCCCAAACTCCACCTACAAAATGCATTTCTAAATTTGCCTTGGTCTCATATATAGAATGCTGGTTTTCTCTTAGCTTGAAACTGTTCCTGTTTTCCGTAGCAAGGGGAAAAAAAACAATCGCTATAAAACTTTAATCAGTGTCTTGGTTTCTTTGGATGGCTGCCCAAGTGATAAACAGCTCTCTGCTTGCATTTCGGAATGACACCACTGAGCAATCTAGTTTGAAAGATAGTAGGTTTGCTAGGAGATAAAATGACTCCACGAGGTATTAAATGCTACTATGGTCAGCCCATCTCATTCTGTCCAGTCAGATTACCCAGGGATAACCATTCTCTTAGATTGATTGTGATTTTAACACACATCCTTTAGAATTACACCGTAAAGGAAAGGAAAGGAAAGGAACCAACAGTCTCACCACAAAGGTTAAAACAGATGTTTAACAACTTGTGACAGCCATTGTGCAGAAAATTAAGTTCATAATTCATTTGTAATGCATCTTCAGCCACAGCGTCTTCAGATGAATTCCATCAACTTTCTAAGGCCAAAAGTCACTACTCTAATCTCATTGCAAGCCATGGCTGCTCCTTTATGCTCAAATGAATGCATGTGACTTAATTCTAATAACATCCCATTCTTTTTGCAGATGATGGGTAACCAACAGTGTGTCACGTGAACATAATGAGAAACCTCTGAGTCTATGTGAAATAAGGAATAGCTCATATATTTAAAAATATATGTAAGTGAAAGGCTTTCATTAAATATGTTGTGTGTCAGTATCTCTTATAAAGCATTGGTATAGCCAGTTATCTTATTGTTGTTGTTGGCATCAAATTGTGCCTTTTGTAGGCCGCCCTGAGTCCCCCCTTGGGGGTTGAGAAGAGCGGGGTAGAAGTGCGCTAAATAAATAAAATAAATAAATAATTCTTGTAAAACTAAATTATTGTGTTTCAGAATGATGCATGTCTTCAAAATGAAATGGAGCCCCCAGTGGTGCAATGGGTGCACAAAAGGGCCCTTTTCTGTCACTGATAAAATCACAGGTGTGATACCATGAAAATCTCTGGGAAGTGTTCTAGAATTGGGTTGCTATGGGCAATGCCCTTGCAGACAGCCAATTCTCTTACACCAGAAGCAACTTGCAGTTTCTCAAGTTGCTGCTGACACACACACACACACAAATCAACATGAAATGTTTGGGAAATTCTGCCCTAGATGTTACAACTTGATGGAAGGGCAAGGACACAAAATGGAATGGGAATAAAATGCAAAACCAATCTGTAAAGACTTCTCTTTATATAGTTATGGATATTACACACATGCCCTTATCTTGTGCCTCTATTTACAAAGATTCTGGACTAAAGCAGACATTAGAATATGAACCTTGTTTTCATAATACCAATATCCATGGTTTCATTCATCCATACCTGAAAAAAATATGTCCCCTCTAGACATTTTACAAGCCCTCCAACGTATTTGTGGACTGAAAAGCTGTTCAGTTAAATAGGCTTTGCTATTATCTGTAGTTTGATACATACACACAACATCTGGGAACATATTCCTCATAGATATACACATCATACTGTATATTAAAGATGTAATGTTCAATCTGGACTTTGCTCCTGTGCTTGCAGTTCACTTTGCAAGATTGCTATTTTGATGTGCATATTGAAAGTGTAGTGGTCCTCAATTACATCGGAATCATTTTAGGGTTACAGTCTATCAGCAGTTCGAGCCCAGATTGGGGTGACCACCCGCTGTTAGCCCCAGCTCACCTGCCCACCTAGCAGGTCAAAAGCAGAAAAAGCAAGTAGATAAAATAGGTACTGCTTTTAGCGGGGAGGTAATAAATGTGTTCTTAAGGACACTGATTGGAGGAAAGCTCCTTGACATGGAAAATGGTCCAATAGCACACCCCCCCCCCCCCCCCCCCCCCCCCCCCCCCCCCCATGACCGGAGTCTTGCACTGCCTCCAAGTTGCCAGAAATATGATGGGGAAAACTGCCTTTATCTATTTGTGTTACGTGTCCTTTGTGTTGTGTGTCCTTGTTAACTGTACTAATGGCATTGAATGTTTGCCATATGTGTGTTCTGTAAAGCCGGTCTGAGTCCCCTTCAGAATAAATAAATGATAGCATCCCAATCCATATGAGGGCCCTTGTAGTCATGCAGAGGGAAAGGGTTAAAAGGGCATAGCCCTTACTCTGTTTTTTCACATATAGCATGTTCCAAACTCTCAAAGAAGCAGGCATTCTGTTCTCTGCAGCCTGGATCTAAGAACTTTCTGACAAATGATATGAAGGGGGTTGTCTACAAGACAGAAGAGTTTTTCAATAGCATAGAGGTCCCAGTAACACAGTGGGTTAAATCGCTGAGCTGCTGAACTTGCTGACTGAAAAGTCGGTGGTTTGAATCTGCAGAGCAGGGTGAGCTCCTACTCTTAGCCACAGCTTCTGCCAACCTAACAGTTTGAAAACATGCAAATGTGAGTAGATCAATAGGTACCACTTCGGTGGGAAGGTAACAGTGCTCTATGCAGTCATGCCGGCCACATGACCTTGTCTACAGACAACGCCGGCTCTTCGGCTTAGAAATGGAGATGAGCCCAAGCCCCAGAGTCAGACACGACTAGACTTAATATCAAGGGGAAATCTTTACCTTTACCATAGCACCCCAATTCTAGAACACCCTTCCCAGAGATTTTGATGGTATCACACCTGTGATCTTATCAGTGACAGAAAAAGGCCTTTTTGTGCAACCAGGTCTTTTAAACCAATTAATTAAACAACTAGGTTTTTTTTTCTCCAAATGAGACACTACAAATATCCAGTCTGCTGTGTTTGTGTTCCCTTGGTCACTGTACTAGTTCAGTTTTTTTGAACATCTAAATTATATGTCTAAAAGTTCAAGAGAAGTTTTACGCTGAAATTTGGAAACTCAAGAAAAATGTCAATAGCGTGTGTGAATTCTTAGGATGGTCAATGTTCTTATTTTGCCTTCCCACCTTAGCTCATATAAACTGTGTTTTCTGGCACAATATTTTAATATATACAGTAGAACAATCTTACTGGGGACAAAATGTTGTGAATACTCAGGATGCGGCAATTCATTCTTGGAGCATGGCTTTGCATGAGAATAGAATTAATTTGCCAGTTTGACAGCTTGGGGGAGCTGCTACTTCATGATAAAGTATGAGACATTTCCCTGTATAAATACAAATCTAAAAATATAGTCAAAAGATTCCTGGTTTGGTTGTTCCTACCTCTCCGTGTGTATATGCATGTGTGTGCATGCGTGAATGAATGAATCCAAATTATTTACGGTATTGCATGGAGGCATTTATTCTGCTAATCACTAACATACTCTCTCTGCTATGGCTCAACGCAGAGCAAAGAGAAAGGGTTAGTGTTAAGCTGAAATGTCTTGCAGCCATGTGTTACCAGTGCAGGAATCTACATGCTAAAGTGCTGCTCATTACAATTTCTGGTGAGGGGAAATTAAAAATAACAGGGGTTATTATTGTTCCTGGATCAGGGAAGCTGGAAAGTTTCATATATCCCCTTTGCTCAGTCACAACAGGGCTGCCCAGAAACTGGCCTCTGAAAGGCAATTGCTTATGAATTATTGACCAATTTACATTCTGAGAGCAACTCACAGTTTATGGCATCTATTTCTGAAGGTGATAAGTGCATATTAATTTGCAGAAATGCAGCACAAGCAATTTGTGGCACATCTGTGCTGCTCCTACACACATACATCTATTTTTCTCCTTTGCATACAACAGCATAGATATTTTTTCATTGTTCCAACAAGCACAACTTTCACATAGATTCCCAGTCTTCCATTTTTAAAGGTTATTTATTTAATCCAGTATGGATTATTTTATTCCATCTCCTATCTTTGTGCTGATCAGTGGTATATCAGTCTAGCAACGTATAAGAATTAAAGAGCCACTGCTTCACATGCAAAAAACCTTGGTGAGTATGCTAAGGTGCTGTGTTTCAGGTAATTCAACAGGTTTTTATGATTTTATTGGTTTTAATTACATATTAATCCTATATTTAATTCTATTTTAATGCTTATATACTTTAGGTTGAAATTTATACATCATGAAATTTTATTTGTGAGCTGCTTTAGGGCTCCCATTGAGAGGGAAAAAGTGAGATACAAATACTATAAATAAATAAACCTGGAGGTTATTTTGTTTCTAAAATTAATTAATTTCAGTTACATAAGAGACAGGAAGCTTGCAGCTAGTTTGAGGTAGTGCCACTGGTTTTCCAAGCACCAAATGCTTGCAACTGCTTTTGAGTATAGCATACCAAGGGAGCAAATATTATCCTAGCTTGGTTTTTTATTGCTGAAACCATGCAAGAACCACCTCTTTGGACATGTGTCCTGATTTGGAAATTTCAGGTAATGGCCACAACAATGAAGCAGAACACCCCCCCCCCCCCCCCCCCCCCCCCCAATTGCACCAGTTAGGTGATAGGAAGAAAGGAAAACATGGCTGTGGCTCACAAATGAAACTTTGAAAAAGGAGACGGAGGGCCTGATTCTGGCAGCCCAAGAACAAGCCATTAAACAAATGCCATCAAAGCCAGAATTTAAAAGTCGACAACAGATACCAAGTGTAAACTCTGCAAGGAAGCAGATGAAACAATAGATCACATCCTCAGCTGCTGCAAGAAGATTGTTCAAACAGACTACAAGCAGAGGCATAACACTGTTGCTCAGATGATTCATTGTAACTTGTACCACAAATGCCATCTGCCTGCAACAAACAACTGATGGGATCACAAGCCTCAAAAAGTTACAGAAAATGAACATGTCAAACTACTCTGTGACTTCTGAATTCAGACAGACAGAGTTTTGGAGCACAATACTCCTGACCTCACGATCGTGTTAAAAAACAAAGTATGGATCGCTGATGACGCAATCCCAGGCAACAGCAGAATTGAGGAGAAACAACTGGAAAAGCTGACACGATATGAGGATTTAAAGATCGAACTGCAAAGACTCTGGCACAAGCCAGTCAAGGTGGTCCCAGTGGTGATCAGCACACTGGGTGCAGTGCCTAAAGACCTTGGCCTGCACTTAAACACAATCGGCGCTGATAAAATTACCATCTGCCAGCAGCGAAAGGCCACCTTACTGGGATCTGCACGCATTATTCGCCAATACATGATACAGTCCTAGACACTTGGGAAGTGTCCGATGTGTGATCAAATAAACAGCCAGCAGAGTGATCTTGTTTGCTGTGGACCCATCTTGTTGTGTTTCTAATAATAATAATAATAATAATAATAATAATAATAATAATAATAATAATAATAATAAATAACATGGTCCTAAATGCTTGGGAAGTGTTCAGCTTGTCATTTTGTGACATGAAATCCAGTATGTATATCTTGTTTGCTGTGTCATAGTGTGTTTAGAGTCAGTATAATAATAATAATAATAAATTTGTATCCTGCTTTTCTCCCTAAACTCACAACATTTTAAAACAATACAAATCGATTATGCATATAGCAATAACCTATAAAACCAACTTTACAATAAAGCATAAATAAACATTTTAAAATCATTTAAGACACAATTATTGCGGGAACACATCAACACAGGTGATAAACTTCATTCGACTATGGACACTTTTCAGTGGCAGCCTCACAGTAGTCTAAATGGGATGTAACCAAGTAGGATGCTTATGGCATCATGAATTGTGCATTGCTAATGCCTTTTTGTTGCAATAATGTCAATATGTTGCATTCAATTTCTAAAGGGCACGTAGAATTTAAGTGGTGTTAGACTTTGACCAGAAAGACCAAGATTTAAATCTACATTCAGTTTATTGGATAATTTTGAATAATTCAGACACACTCTCTTAGTAATTCATAGAATTGTTGTGAAGACTTTTTTTTCCGTGTCAGGAGAAACTTGAGAAACTGCAAGTAGCTTCTAGTGTGAAAGAATTATCTGTCTGCAATGACATTGCCCAGGGGATGCTCAGATGTTTCACCATCCTGTGGGAAGTTTCTTTTATGTCCCCACATGAGAAGCTAGAGCTGACAGACAGGAGCTCACCCTGCCTCCAGGATTCAAACCCTGCTGGCATGAGGGTTTAACTCATTGTGCCACCAGTGGCTCTTTTGAGGACACAAAAATAGGGAGGAATAAGAAAGTGAATGTAAAACATTACAAGTAACAACATAACCTGAAACAAGTTACTCGAGGGAATAATATCCTGTCTACTCATTCCAACATTTTAGCACCAATATTTTTCTTACTCCTAAAACGTTCTTTTTGCAACAGCCATGTGGAAACTGGTCACTTTTCTATGTTAAGACTTTTAAAACATCATTTAATAATAATGAGTAGAGTTAATACTTCATAAATTTCCTCAAGCAACAACTAAGACTGCTGCATTTAATGTTTGTATAATATTCCAAACTCTGTAGTGGGCTATATATGTAGCTCCTCAGATAAGGAGAAAAGAAAAAATAGAATAAATAACAAAGAAATATGGTACTTACCCTTCTTCATATATCTTTCTGTCAATAGAAGAAAAAAAATACAGAGCTATTAGCATTCCCCTGAGAAAAACTATACTAACAACGTGGTCCTAAATCTGCTTACACTGAACATGGGTGTCCTCATTTGCACATAATGTTTTAGTGTTATAAAGATAACAAGCCACAGTTTCTTATGCTTCTCTTATCACTCCTGCTGCTGTGTGCAACTCCATTTAGATCTGAGATGTCTACTTCCATTTTCCTTTTATCACAATTCAATATTATGTCCACATTCAATATACAATTAATCTGAATCATGACTTGTTGAAACAAATCAGCTGCTGAAACTATGATTTGCAATAAGCCAAGTTGCTTCAACAAATTGCAGTTAAGATGAACTCCACTTTGTTGTGTTTGAATTACAGAGAAAACGATGTTCCAAAGTGTCCAAGTTGTGATAATTAATGTTACCCTAATTAACTAGGCCAATTGAAATGACACAAAGATTTCTGTGCAAGCTTTAGAAACCAAAGATTTCTTCATCAGAAAGTATAAAGAGGAAGTGGTGATGAAGGAGTTAAAATGTTAGAGTCGCATAGTTCACATGTTATCTTTAGATGGCAGAAGAAGAGTCTGCAAAATATCAGGCTGGGTTTATGAAGCCACACACACATATCACAATGGCTCTGGCCTGCCAGAAATAAGAATGGTGATAAAAAGCAAGGCCACAAAATGTAGTTCTCCATTTGAGAATAGAAATGAATTCCTTCAATCCTCAAATCCATCTCTGTCTAGTTTGCAAGCCCCTTTTCAGTAATACAATACTATAATAGCTAGTATGTATACTCATATATATTTTAGAAATGTTAGTTTAAAAATGGCTCCCACAGTAGTGCAGTGGATAAACCGCTGAGCTGCTGAACTTGCTGACTGAAGGGTTGGTGGTTCGAATCCAGGGAGCAGGGTGAGCTCCTGCTGTTAGTCCCAGATTCTGCCAACCTAGCAGTTCGAAAATATGCAAATGAAGTTGAGCACCACCCCCCAGAGTCGGACACGACTAGATTTAATGGGTCGATGTGAATACTCAACATGAACTCTTATACTAAAAAATAACCATTCCCTTCTATCACTAGAGTGGTGAAAGGCAAGACTGTTAATCCCTGGAAAACCTTTAAAAAGCACCAACTCCCTCACATTCTCCATCGCCACTGGCCTTTTTGAATTCTTGGGTGGGAAAATTGTGATAATGGACTGTGGTGGCTTAGGTGCATTCCCCTATCTTTATAAAGGCCCTCAACTTATCCATGGGTTGTATCGAAATCCATAATTTTGGGCTTAAAAATTATCCATGAGGTGGGTAGACCCCGGTGAGGCAATGGGTTAAACTGCTAAGTTGCAGAATGGAAGATTGGTGGTTCGAATCTAGGGAGTGGGGTGAGCTCCCACTGTTAGTCCCAGCTTCTGCCAACCTAGCAGTTTGAAAACATGTAAATGGGTGTAGATCAATAGCTACCACTTCGGTGGGAAGGTAATGGCATTCCATGCAGTCATGCTGGCCACATGACCTTGGAGGTGTCTATGAACAACGCTGGCTCTTCAGCTTAGAAATGGAGATGAGCACCACCCCACAGAGTTGGACATGATGAGACTTAATGTCAGGAAAAACCTTTACTTTTTAAATGGTATATTGTTAGGGCTGGAGATGAATTTAAATGCAAGGCAATTTGGATATCATATAGTTGGATGGGGACAAATGTCCTCAGAATATAATGGCAATTTTAACATGATATAAACCTCTCTTAATCCAGGCTGGGATCCCACTTCTTTTCAAAAGCAGAGACATTGATCACTGTTGACCATAGATAAATTCCAAACTCCATAATATAATAAAACCCTTATAACAATCGGTTTATTACAGGTGGGAATTCAGCTTAAACTAGAAAACATTTTTGCAAATTATGTAGCAAAGGGGGTGTATGTGAACTCAAATATTCTTCTCTCAGATTCTCATAACACTAAACTGAGATTTAATGTTATGTCCAAAGAGTCTGGTAAGATTTGGAAGAAATGTTCAGTGAGTTAAAAATAGTACCAATTACCTTGCATTATTTCTCTTAAGATAACACCAAATGTGTAATCACATTCACCATGAAGCAACTGCTAATAGCAGTTCTTGGAGATGTTCCATGGGCTAGATACAAAAGTCAAACGATCTAGATAAATCTCTTCCAATAGCCCCCCAAAAGGAATATATAATAGGGAAGACCATAATGAAATAGACTTTAGCAGAAGAGAGTAGGAGGGAAAGCTCCAATATATTTATGTGCCATAAAGGGGGTTAAGTAGTATTTTATTACCGTGATAATTTAAAACAGATATAGATATATTGGGAATGTTGGAAATATGGAACACTTGGGTTTAGGAGGAAGCCACCTTGAATCAATCTCCCAAGAAAGCCTATTCTGATGCCATCGTGTAGTCTCCCTCCCCATTTCAGATCTAAAGACAGAAACGAATGCACTATTCATATTTTTTAGAAAAGTAACATAGACTGCATTCCTGGTAAACAGCATAAAATCCTGGATTTATAGGAGATATTTTACTGACAGCCCTAATAGCACTTTAATGACAGGCAATGAGCAAATGTATCTGAAAGCAGTCATTCAAATGGTTCTTACTTTAAGGATTGGAGGCAATCTCTTATATGTTGTTTCAGTTCTTCATCTTTTTCATAAGATTCCAGCAGGACATGGGCATCATCATTTTGGTAACAATAGACTTTATATGCTTCTTCCATCAAGTCTTTGATCTGTACAAACACTTGCCCTGTTAAAATGCAAAACAAAAACAAAAGCAAAAAAAAACCCTGTCAGATAACACCGGCCAACACACATTTTGGTGCTTCAAATGTTAGACCTGCTTTTGGGTATATTTGACCTGCTGATTCCAAAAATCGTACCAGATTTCTGCCTCTCAGCTCAAGTTTTTGAGATACAGAAGCCATATTACCAGTGTGTCTCCCATAGAAAATCATGACAACCAATGCCATATCTAAGACATTCGAGCTGATGCAGTCTAGTGCAATTATCTGAATCAGGTCCCCAGATAACCCCAGGAACAAGCCTAAAGACCAAGAGACCAAGACAAATAATTTTTTTGGGTTCTGCAAATATATGAACATGCTGGTTTCAGACACCCTGCTCTCCTGTTTTATCCCATTTCTGAGATGAATTGTGCATGCAGAAGAAGAAGAGGAGGAAAAAAGGGAGAAGGAAGAGAACAATGCCTTCTTGATGTTAGTGCTAGGTGTTAAATACTCTTTTGGAAGATGCACTCTCTAAGGCCATGTGCCCTATGTTTTGTTGTTGTTATTTATTCATTCAGTTGCTTCTGACTCTTCATGGACCAGTCCACGCCAGAGCTCCCTGTCGGTCGTCACCACCCCCAGCTTCTTCAAGGTCAATCCAGTCACTTCAAGGATACCATCCATCCATCTTGTCCTTGGTTGGCCCCTCTTCCTTTTCCTTCCATTTTCCCCAGCATCATTGTCTTCCCTAAGCTTTCCTGTCTTCTCATGATGTGGCCAAAGTACTTCATCTTTGCCTCTAATATCCTTCCCTCCAATGAGCAGTCAGGCTTTATTTCCTGAAGTATGGACTGGTTGGATCTTCTTGCGGTCCAAGGCACTCTCAGAATTTTCCCCCAACACCACAGTTCAAAAGTGTCTATCTTCCTTCACCCAGCTTTGCTTATGGTCCAGCTCTCACCATCCATAGGTAACTACAGGGAATACCATTGCTTTAGCTATGCGGATCTTCATTGCCAGTGTAATGTCTCTACTCTTCACTATTTTATCAAGACTGTTTTACAGTCCTCTGTTTATGGAGTTGTTGGAATAGTCCTCTAGTTCTCCAGTTCAAGTGGGTTTTACTTTTGTTTGTTTTTTGTCGTGTCAGGAAACTGCAAGTCGCTTCTGATGTGAGAGAATTGGCTGTCTGCAAGGACGTTGCCCAGATGATGCCTGGATACTGTTGATGCTTTACCATTTTTATGGGAGGCTTCTCTCATGTCTCCGCATGGAGAGCTTTACATTATAAAAGGGGAGAAAGAGACAATGAAAGTGTCCATCAGAGTTAGTGCATCAACAGGCATATGATTTTCCCTGATTGGTCTTCCCCAATAAGGTGAGACATACTTTTTTTCTATTTATTGTGCACCTTGTATTTATCAGTACATGTGCATTGCCTCTATTGAAATATATTTGCAAGGAAGCACGGAAGACTCTATGGACTCTTAGTATACCTGAAACCTCTAATGTAGTGGTTCTCAACCTGTGGCTTCCCAGATGTTTTGGCCTACAACTCCCAGAAATCCCAGCCAATTTACCAGCTGTAGGATTTCTGGGAGCTGAAGGTCAAAACATCTGGGGACCCACAGGTTGAGAACAACTGCTGTAATGCTTTTTGCTATTTGTTGACAGCTTTTGCGTCATCAATGATTTGGTTTTGTTTTCACATTGATGTTTCCATTGGGATATTCCTAGCAAACAATGGCTTTTCACTTGTAGAAACAAAGTGGTTGAGGACATTGTACTTTATATGTTGCATTGTACCTTATATGAAATTCCAAGATAAATACTTGGTAAGATGCTTAGAGCCTGTAGCTAATCTTAATGATATGAGCAGCACATCATCTACTTCAATTGAATTGGTCCTAGTTAATGCATCCAAATTTGCTGTGAATTTAGTCCCACTCAGAATTGGTCTTGATATAGAAATAAGAGAGATGATTTCTTATAGAAAATGTGAATTCAGTTAATCTGCCTGTAAAGATTGTATTTTCATATTGCATTTTTACATTTTTGAAAGCTGTTTTAAAGTTTCTTTCAAAAATCTTGTAAATTTAACTGTTTCTTTGATCGGTAATTATTCATTTTTCTTTTGGCTGTAACCCACATTTGGTTGTCTAATAATAAAGTTGGGGTTTTTTGTTGTTGTTGTTGTGAGCTATTTGGATTGGGGTTTTTTTTAATTAAAAAAAAATGCAAATAATAAGGCTAGTGTGTTCTACCTTTCTTGGGGATATTTTTATTCTTTCACATCCTTATGAACTTAGCAAGAAAAAAATGAAGGCGTGGTAGACCAAGAGGAAGAAAAGCTGAGTGCCCTGTTCTTCAGAGGTTTGCATTAGGAAATGACAAAAAGTTCCTACCTGTGTTTCAAAATGCTTATACTTCTTCTTTCTACATCTGCAAGCAACACAATGAATATGCTCATTGTTTGCATGTTATAAGGAAGTGGAAAGTTGTGTGTATCTGCTCTACTTCCTTTTGGCACTTCTGGCTTGGATGTGTGCCTTCCCCCTTCAGTCCATAACACACAGAAAAGACCTGCTTTATTTCTGTACACAAAGCTTCTGCTAAAGTCTCAGGAGAAGAAGTAGAAACAAAGAGAGCAGTCCTTTTCTTCGGCTGTGTGAGAAAATCAGCTTCCTGACAGAACGCACCTATCGTGTGTATAGTTCTAAACATGACCTCCTGTGAGACATCAATTTCACAGAGGCTTGAAAAAGCACAGACACCTTTCTGAGAAGCGGCATCTCTCAATAATCCATTGGCTTAGACTTCTGATTAATGTGGAAGCAAAAAAAAAAAATGAATGCAAAGTAGAGACAGGTGAACTTCATTGATAAGAGGCTAACTGTAGATGATGTATATATGCATGCATGCCTGTCAACTTTTGGCAACACCATGAATTTCAGAAGGTTTTCTAAGGAAAGGAAGACTCAGAGGTGGTTTGACAGTTCCTCCCTTTGAAATACATACTGCAGCACATAGGATTTGTTGGTGGACTCCCATCCAAGTATTCATTAGAACTGACCTTGCTTAGCTAACAAGATCAGAGAAGATCTGGTACCTCTAGGGCATTTAGGCAATACGGGTATGGTTAGATGGGGGTATGGTCTATAGCCAGGGGCGGCTCAACCATTATGCAAAGTAAGCATTTGCAGTATAGTTGATTTTGCCCAGGGGCGCTCTTGAGGCGCTCTTGGGGGAAAATAGACCTTGACATATGCGAGTTGTAGTTACTGGGATGTATAGTTCACCTACAATCAAAGAGCATTCTGAACTCCACCAAAGATGGAATTGAACCAAATATGGCACACAGAACTCCCATGATGAACAGAAAATATATATCAGTGATTGGTTGGGGGCACCAAAATACTGTTTGCTTACCATTGAAAATTACCTAGGGCCGCCTCTGCCTATAGCCTTCAGAAATGCAAAGTGAGAGCTTTCTGCTTCACAACTGCTTCCATTATTTCTTTTTTTTTTTTAAATTAAAAAACATTTCTTAGGGGCATTTCCTCAAATTGTTCTTGAATTTCACAAAAGAATTTCAAAAAAAGCAGTTCTCCTGGATTGAAGCCTTTTGCGACTGACTTTTGTAATGGTCTTTTATGATATTGTTTCCTGTCCATCAAACTATAAAAGTGATCCACTAAGAAATTCCAACAAATGCTAAGTTCTGCAAAGGACAAGAGGGATCTTCTCACCTCTGCAGGAGTCTACCATATCCTAATATATAAAACTAATAATAATACAATATTATAATTATATATTTTATATTACATGTAATATTATTAATAATACTACAATATAATGGTATTGTACAATACAGTAATATATAATACTGATATTGTGCTGTGCTAATAATATAATATATTGTATGTATATATATATCTTGTAAGCCGCTCTGAGTCCCCTTCAAGGTGAGAAGGGCAGCATATAAATGCCGTAAATAAATAAATAAATATCCCATGCAGCTGTGGACAAGTCTACATAGTGAACACCAAACACAGCATTGCTCAAACACGAATTAAGGAACATGAAAGGCACTGCAGACCAGAGAAGTCAGCCATAGCAGATCACCTGATGAAACAACCTGGATACAGCATATTATTTGAGAACACAAAATGCTGGACCACTCTAACAACCACCATGTCAGACTACACAGAGAAGCCATGAAATCCACAAGCATGTGGACAATTTCAACAGAAAGGAGGAAAACCATGAAAATGACAAATCTGACTACCAGTATAAAAAACTCTAAAATCAGGACAGAATAAAGAACAACTCAGAAAACAGGGAATTCCAGGCAAGAAACAATCAGGGCCAGCTAACACCTCCCAACAAAGGATTCCCTTAGGCCAGGCAGCAGCCAGGCTTTGAAGCTGCAATCAATGCGGCACTGCAACATTCACACTTGCCTCAAACAGGCAAGAGTTCTTTCTCCCACCCTGGACATTCCACAGATATATAAACCCCACTTGCCTAGTTTCCAACAAACCTCACAACTTCTGAGGATGCCTGCCATAGATGTGGGTGAAATGTCAGGAGAGAATGCTTCTGAAGAATGGCCATACAACCCGGAAAACTCACAGCAACCCATCAATTCTAGTGTCATAGATTTGATATTTCTGCCATAGATGTGGGCAAAATGTCAGGAGATAATGCTTCTGGAGCCATATAGCCCAGAAAACTCACAGCAGCCCAGTAATTCCGGCCATGAATGCCTTTAACAACACATATAAAAAGCTTGATTCAGAAGTTTGTCTAACATGTTAAGATCCTCTCTCGACCCACATTTCTGCTGCTTTTTAAATGTCCCAGTTTTCTCTCTTCTTCCCTCCTTTCTCCTTGTTCTCAGCTTGCTGAAAAGTGAGTTCAAAGTGCCAAAGTAGTTTGTGATCAAATAAATCAGGGTGGAGACTGAAAGAAGAGGCAGAATCTTGCTTTCGCAGTAGTCCCAAGGAAACTGCTCCTGCCTTTCCTAACGTGTCTGCTCTTCATTATTTTAACATATATTTTTGCCATCTTGACCACACAGTGGTGTTGCTTGGCTACACATCTCCTGTTTTTCATCTGTAAAATGTTGGAGGGTATGAGATTCAAGCACAAAAAAAGCAATTTGGATGAATGCAGTTGGGTAATCCTTTTATTAGGGTTGACCAAAAGGTCACCAAGAAGTTAAGCCTTTGAGTGCACAGAAACTCTTAATCAGTCTAAATGTTAAACTTAAAAAAACAGAAAAGGAAGCTACAGGGAGAAAGAGATGTTGCTGAGCAAGATAGGAAAAAAAAATCACTACTTTTTCAAATGAATTCCAGGAGATGTTACACATTAAACCTTGGCATACAAAAGAATCCAAGAAAAGCAGAGAAATGTGGTCCTTTGAAAATGTAAAACTCAGGACTTTTTTTTGTTTATTTTATAGCACCAATGTTCATAGCCAAACAACTCCCATTATATTATGGATAGGGAACATGTATTATCCAAGAACCCTCCCACACAACCATATAACTCAGAATATCAAGGCAGGAAATCCCACAATATCTGCTTTGAACTGGGTTATCTGAGGCCACACTGCCATATATTCCAGTTCAAAGCCGATATTGTGGGATTTCCTGCCTTGATATTCTGGGTTATATGGCTATGTGGAAGGGCCATTGGATACTACATGTTGGACTGCAAGTCCTATCAGCCCCAATCAACACAATTCCAGTGGCACAATGAATTAAAGAGTTTAGGAGGAAACTCAAGACTTGGCTATGGGACCAAGCGTTCGACCACTGAATAGCAGCAATGTGGAAAGAAGATTTAAGCAACTCGTGATAATGAATTGACCCAGACCTGGATTTGGATTTTAATTGGCATGTTTTAATCGATTGTTTAATTGACTGTTTTTAATTAATTGTTTTTTAATTAACTGTTTTGGTTAATTGTTTAATGCTTTTAATTGTATTGTTGAATGTTTATAATTGTGACAGCACTGAATGGTGCTTGCTGTGAGGCCGCCCTGAGTCCCCCCTTGAGGGTGAGAAGGGCAGGACTGAAGACTGATAAGTTGGACATTCGAATCCGCGGAGAGCCTGGATGAGCTCCCTCTGTCAGCTCCAGCTCCCCATGCAGGGACATGAGAGAAGCCTACCACAAGGATGGTAAAACATCAAAACATCTGGGCATCCCCTGGGCAACATCCTTGCAGACAGCTAATTCTCTCACACCAGAAGTAACTTGCAGTTTCTCAAGTCACTTCTGACACACACACACACACAAACAACCTACAGCTCTGAGAAGTGATGAGAGTTAAACTCCAACACCATTTAGAGGGCTGTGTTATTCCCCAACCCTATTCCAGATTATTTCAGTTCCAGGGAAACCGCCTTTGAGTCTTGTTTCTTTTAGCATCTAGGACCTTCTACTCATGAATCCACAGCTTTTCTGTTTAAAACTAATCATGTTCTCTCCATCATCTGTTCCTTTGCTAAAAGAGAAGGAGTGGGCTGAGGCAAATGGGTGTTTTATTGCCATCAGTTTGATTCCGTGAGGTTTCAGAGAGCTCAAAGCAGACTGCAAACATACCAATTACTTGCATGGCCGGTTCCACGTCCGTCGTCGCTTCTTCCAATAATGACAGCAGTTTGGTTGATATTTGATGGAGAGATTCGATGTTGCTAAATAAGCCATCCACGTCAAACCTGGTAATCTGAGGAAACACAAACATTGGCAGCAATTGTCAGTGAAATAAGGGGAGTGGGGGGAGCTCTTGCTCTGCTAGTTTGCTCCACAGTGTGCATTTCACTCCAAAAAACACCACATTTGGCACAAAATCTAGAAGTGTGTAAATCTGCCTTCTGCAATGTTTTTACCATCTAGGTCAGTGTTGCCAAATTTGGTCCAGTGAATGAAAATACATCGTGCATATCAGATATTTACATTACGATTCATAACAATAGCAAAATTACAGTTATGAAGTAGCAACGAAAATAACGTTATGGTTGGGGATCACCACAACATGAGGAACTGCATTATGGAGTTGTGGCATTAGGAAGGTTGAGAACCATTGATCTAGATACTAGGACTACAACTACAAGCATCACCAGATCCATTGTCCCCAAAAAGTTTTAGTGCAAAACACCTGGACAAAACATATGGATCTAAGTATCCAAAACATCTAAGTATCCGCACTGCAGAATTATAGTGGTTTGACAACACATTGACAGCCATGGCTCAATGCTGCATAAGTCTGGGGTTTACAGTTTTGTGAGATATTTACCCTTCTTTGATAGAGATCTTTGAGGTCACAATAAACTACAAATCCCAGAATTGCAAAGGATGGCACCATAGCAGTTAAAATGGACCCAAAATGCTATAATTTTGCAGTGTGTTGGGGGAAGATTGGTAAAGATATTCATTTTGAACTCTCCTTTCTATGCATCCAGAAGTAAAATCTTATACTATAATACAGTTATATTTAGCAGCCTGCCAGGTAAAGGGACTTTCCCTTCATTTTAATTGTTGCTTTCAGTTTTCTTACAAATAATAACGATGAACCCAAAGAGAATGATTGATGTGTGCACGTGATCTGCTCAATTATGCTATTCCTTAAGGACCACTTCCTCCAAAACATACATCTATTATCTCTTTTACAGAGGTTATATTCACACAGTAGACAAATGGATCTATTTTATGAAAATTTAAAACAGACTAAAATCAATACAAAGAAGCAGGAGCATACTTCAAGAGATTTGTAATGAAGGGAAAATACTACGAGAGAAACAATAGACACAAAATTGGCTTAGTTCCCACCCCTTAAAATAAGTTCCTTTAGAAACATTTTAAAAATCCACCTTCCCTTTGGTATATTTGTCATTTCCTTATAAGATATAGGGACAATGAAAGTCTGTGGCAATCTTATAACACCCAGCAAGGAGTAATGTGTGAAGCTAACAACAATGTTGACTTTGGCATGTAAGTTAGTACCTTCAAACATCCCGATCCATTAGTATTCATTAGTAACAAAATTGTGTATTTACCCAGACGCTTACAGAAAACAGACCAAAAGATTCAAATTGCATGTTATAGTAACAGGAACAGTATAATAATTGCTAGTAAAGGCAATCTTGATTATAGGGGCCAGTAACATTTTTGATCTGTCACGAATTTGAAAGCACAACTCTGTTATTCGTTTTAGGAGTAATCTGGAGAGCTCTTTTAAAAAAACCATCTTTGGAATAATATATGTATATGTCGTCTTAAAAGAAAAGTAACATATAAAGCTATCAAATAAACATTTCCCCTTCTAATAGCAACACATTCTATAGTATCGGATGAATAAGTATTGAATTGCAGGCCTCATTACTTAAGGCTTTTCAGGAAGGAAAGTTTTGAGAATTTCCAGTTCCCTTGTCCTGTGTTTGCCTCCATATTCTCAGGTTTGCTCTTCATGCCTCACATGCGTTCATCCTTCTTCTAATAACTATGGGTGCTCCCAGACAATGTCAAAACCTGCATTTTAAATCAAAGATAGGGGCCATCCAGCAGAAGTTTTTTTTAAAATCCCTCCGTTATGCGCTGGACCATACATGCAAATACCTAATAATAATAATAATAATAATAATAATAATAATAATAATAATATAACTGGAAAAGCTGACATGATACAAGGATTTAAAGATTGAACTGCAAGGACTCTAGGACAAGCCAGTAAAGGTGGTCCCAGTGGTGATGGGCACACTGGGTGCAGTGCCTAAAGACCTTGGCCTGCACTTAAACACAATCAGCACTGACAAAATTACCACCTGTCAGCTGCAAAAGGCCACCATACAGGGATCTGCATGAATTATTTGCCGACACATCACTAGACACTTGGGAAGTGTCTGATGTGCGATCCAATACAACAGCCAGCAGAGCGATCTTGTTTGTTGTGTACTAATCTTTTTGTGTTTCAAATAATAATAATAAAACCTTATTTGTATTCCGCCCTATCTCCCCAAGGAGACTCAGGGTGGATTCCAACATACAACGGCAAACATTCAATGCCTCCATGAAACAAACAAATGCTGACATAAAATCCCAGAAAAACCCCACATACGAAATCAAATTAAAGATCAATGAATTAAAGCTAAGATCAATAAATTAAACCAACTGCCAGACAAAAATTATATAATAACATTCAATCTGAGCAAATGTCTATATTAATTTACAGAAACCAACTGGCGTTCACAAAGTTGTGTGGGTTAGTGGTGTGGTAAATTGGGCTAACATAGACTAACAGAGACCAGATACAAAATTGTTCTCAACCAGGGCTATATAGTAGTCACTCATTGACTAATCCTCCTCTCCATATGCTAGTGAGCAGAAGTAGGCCTTCAGTTTTTTGAAGGAGAGGAAGGAAAGAGTCAGATTTATTTCTTTAGGAAGGGAGTTCCAGAGGTAAGGGGCGACCACGGAGAAGGCCTTCTCTCTCGTTCCCACCAGAGGGGCATCTGACAGTTCCCATCCCTTTTTAAAATAAGCGCCTTTAGCCATTTCTGCACAAATCAGGAGCTCTGAACATGATTGCTCCCCAACATCAAAATTTCAGTTTCTACACACTTTAAAAATAATTTGAAGATGAAGTTCCACTGGGAACTGCTATAATTAGTCTTGTGTCGTATGATGATCTCTGTGGGACTCAGTCTTTAAAGTGTTTTTAAAGTGTGTAGAAAGGAGAAGGGGCGCTGCTTCTGATGAGGTCCCTAGAAAGCAGCTAGAAAAAATATTCTCACCTCACGCATGAGTTTATGGTAAGCATTAGATGAAACTTTTGAGGTTTTAGCCTTCTCTGGGCCCTTCCAAATAGGCCTATATCTCAGGTTTTCTGCTTTAAACTGGATTATATGAGTCTGTGCTGCCAGATAATCTGAGATAACCAGAAAACTTGGGATCAGATCCTGGGATATAGGACCTGTCTGGAAGGGCCCCTAGTCAAAGAGTCCTGGTTATTCGTCAAATTACAAATCCCAGGATTCCATAGCATTGCGTCTTAGCAATTAAAGTGGTATCAAACTACATTAACTCTACACAGTATAGATTAACTCAGTGTTTCCACTGGTTAGACAAATTGTGTTATTCCGAGTCCAAATGAACAGGAAGAAGTTGGGACACAGAAGAGAACTGTTCGTATTGGGACACAGCAGCAGTTCCTTCCTGCACAAGCTTCAAGGTAGGGCATGACATAAGAGTGTACCTGTGGTGCACATCACAAACAAGGTGCCATTTGTGTATCACACTTGTTGCTACAAGTAAAAGCTGCTGCCCACAGAGCATTCTATGATTCTCAGCAGAATTTTGCCGGGTGGTTCAGGGCAAAAACAGCCAGCATGTACTGTCTAAATGGAAATCAGACAACTTTGAGGCTGAACAGCAGAATAGTGATATAAAATCTGCATGAAAGGATATAATTGTGGTAAGCACTTCTATTACTTTTGCTGTCTGAAACACATTCTCCTGGGACTTGCACTGCTTCCCTGTAAAGTAAAGTGTTTTCTCACAGTTACCATAGAGCCATTGTGAAAATGCAGTTCTTTACAGAAAATTATTCTTCTGTTCTGAAAGATTGTATCGTCCATGGGATAAGCTCAAAACTGTAGGGCAAAAACTGCTGATATATTACTTGCTGCCCCTTTTGGTGAGCAAATCCAGACAAATCACACACACAAAGAATGCATTATGATCCATTGGTTTTCCCAGACCAAAGTTTGGAAAATAGCAACAACAACAATAACAACAACAACTTGCCTACAGCTTCCTGAATCTGCCCAAGGAATTTTGCCCCCAAAATGTATTTTTCCAAATCCTGTTGCATACTTAGCCTAATTATAATTTTTTCCACCATCACAATAACTGTGGCCTGGGGACTTCATTCCTGCTGTAGACTCTCTTGTCTTTATCGCCACATTTCTATTATTTTTAGTATGTATGTATACATGTTGTTATTATTTATTTATTTGTTTGTTTATTTATTTATTTATGACCTCCCTTTCTCCCAGGGCAGATACTGATACCTTGATCTTGGCTTTAACCAGTTAATACTTCCTGGCTAATTCTTCTAAATGATTTTGTTTCTTCAATATGAAGATACCGAAGGGTTTTTTTCCTTCTCTTTTTCAAAGCTTATAGCCAATTAACCTAAACCTTGGAAGGGGACTAGTTTAGGAAGCCTAGGAATGTTATGTTAACTATCTTGTATTATGAGACTTCATGAAGAAGAAACGCCATTGGCATCTCCAAGAGACAGACATAGGCTCCTTCTACACTGACATATGATCCAGATTATCAAACTGATGATCATTATTATCTGCTTTGAACTGGATTACATGAGTCTACATTGCCATATAATTCCATTCAGAGCAAATAATCTGGATTCTATATGGCAGTGCAGAAGGGACCACAGAGTGGTAGTGAAAGTTGTGAACGTGCATACGTGAATATGTGGCATAGAGGATCATGTATTTTGAACATTTAAAAATGGTTTATTAAAGATTTGTAAAAATGGTTTATTAAAAAAGATTTGTAAAAATGGTTTATTAAAGTGGAGATATGGCTTTGCTTAGAAATGTGTGAAAGAGGAGTGTGAAGGTAGAGCAGATGGTGCAGCTACACTGTTGGATTAATGCAGTTTGAGACCACTTTAACTGCCATGACTGAAGGTTATGGAATCTTGGGAGTTTTAATTTGGTGAGGCACCAGCACTCTTGAGCAGGGAATGCTGAAGACCTTATAAAATTATTGTTCCCGTGGTTTCATAGCATTGTACCACAGCAGTTAAAGTGCTGTCAAACTGCATTTTTACAGTGTAAACATCTGGTATGAGAAAATTAAGGCCCATGGGCCCCTTATGTATAGCCCTCAAAATTTTCCCTATCTTCTGGGCATAAGGATGTGGCAGCCTGCCACGTCCTTATGCCGAAAGGATGAGGGAGGAAAGCATGCGGCATCTGGGAGCCCAGAGTGCTCTCAGTTGCCACGTGCCTTCCTTGGGGCCTCCTCCCAGCTTAAGGACAGGGTGAGAGGTCCTATCCCAAATGCCAGGAGAAGCTCGGCATTGGGGAGGAGGCAGGCGGTGGGTAAAGCAGCTCCAAAGCCGCCTCACCTGCCGCATGCCTCTCCTTTCTCCCGGCATCAGGGTAAGGCAAGGCCAGGAGAAGCCCAGCCCGGGTGAAAAGGCAAGTGGTGGGCGAAGTGACTCCAAAGCCACCTTGCACACCTCTCCCTTCTGGCATAAAGATGTGGCGATGCCCTGTCCTGATGCTGGCAGATGGGAGAGGCAGGCGGGGACTGAGGGACCTTCCTCCCAGCATAAGAATGGGATGGCAGCTTGGAGGAGGCAGGACTAGGGCTGGTGCAGGGCCGGGAAGGGTGGGGGCAAGTCCAGAAGGGGGCAGGGGAGGGGCAGATCACCCTCATGCTTTCCTCTCAGCATAAGGATGGGATGGCAGCCCCATTCTTATGCTGAGAGGAAAGCATGAGGGTGATTTGTCCCTCCCCTGCCCGCTTCTGGGCTTGCCCCTACCTTTCCCAGGCCTGCACCACCCCCAGCCCTACTCCCTCCTGGGCCCACCCCTCTGGCCCAGTCTTCCCTCCAAGCCTGGCCCTCCTGGCTGGGCCCACAATGCGGCCCCAAGGCAAAAAAGTTGGCCCATGCCTGGTGTAGATGCACCCGGAATCCTCATTCTTCTGGGAATAATAATTTAACAAATAAGTTTTGTAAAGTGCACAGGCTGATTAAGCCTTTCTCTTCATTCACAACTGCTATTTTTCACCCTTGTGAATAAAGACCACTGCAGAATTATAGCAGTTTGACACCACTTTAATGGTTAGGGCTCCATCCCATGGAATTGTGGGATCTGTAGCTTGTTGTAGTTTCGGTGCTCTCTGATAGAGAAGTGTAAATATCTTACAAAACTACAAATCATAGGATTCCATAGCAGTTAAGTGATATGCTATAATTCTGCAGGGTGGATGCTGCTAAAACCTTTCAAATTTTGTGTGAAAGGATGAGTTTCTTTAGTGGAATCGTACTGGGGGTTCTTCACAACAGGAATTCCGTATGCAGTGTTCAAATGAACATCCTCATAGAACTAAAGCCATGGAGATGCGTGAACTTCTTTCGTGTCAGTTTTGTCATTGTTTCTGATCTTTGCCAGGCAGAGAGAGACTTGCCAAATTCTGATCACCCAGCTATTTCCTCACCTGCTTTTTTCTCAAGGGCTCTACTACTATCCTGATGCACAGTTCCAAATCATTGAGGTAGTCTCTTTCTGTCTGGACCATTTCGGCGATGATCTTTTGCCTTCGTGCCATCATCCGCCTGTTCAGTTCTTCTTCATTTTGCAGGGGTGAACCAACAGGTCCTGAGGAACCTGCTTGGGGTGCCATTTTTTCTGCAAAATAACAGAAATTGTTTTAGAAAGCAAGCAAACAAGGGAAAAAAACCTTCCGCTAACATGCCCCCCCCCTCGGGGTGAGAAAAGCGGTATACAAATACTGTAAATAATAATAATAATAATAATAATAATAATAATAATAATAATGAAAAGTGGCATTAAATCATTAAGCCACTTGAAAACAGAAAACATTGTGTGTGTGTGTCTAAGTGCCGCCATGTCATCTTATGACTTATAGTGACCCTATGAGTGTCACAGGATTTTCTTAGGCAAGAAACACTGCTTTTGTCCATTTCTTCCTCTGAAATATAGCCTATAGCACATGGTATTTGTTGACAACAGAGGGAGAAAATGTGGAGGCAGTGGCAGACTTTTCATGTCATCACACTAGAGAATGAATCCACTTAAAATCCAGTTTCTGTCTCCTGCAGAATTCTGAGTTTTGTAGTTTAGTGAGGCTGTTAAAGACTTCTCCTAAAACTACAAACCCCAGAATTCTACAGGAGGCAGAAACCACATTTAAAGTGGATTCATTCTCTAGTGTGATGAGGTCTTTTGTCTTTCTAGGCATGAAGATTACAGCAGATGCAGACTGCAGTCAGGAAATCACAAGATGCTTACTTCTTGGGAGGAGAGCAATGGCCAAGCTCAATAAACTAGTGAAGAGTAGAGACATCACACTCGCAACAAAGATCCACATAGTTAAAGCAATGGTATTCCCTGCAGCAACCTATGGATGTGAGAGCTGGACCATAAGGAAAGCTGAGCGAAGGAAGATTGAACTGTGGTGTTGGAGGAAAATTCTGAGAGTGCCTTGGACCGCAAGAAGATCGAACGAGTCCATACTCCAGGAAATAATGTCCAACTGCTCACTGGAGGGAAGGATATTAGAGGCAAAGATGAAGTATTATGGCCAGATAATGAGAAGACAGGAAAGCTTGGAGAAGATAATGATGCTGGGGAAAATGGAAGGAAAAAGGAAGAGGGGTCGACCAAAGGCAAAATGGATGGATGTTATCCTTGAAGTGACTGGCTTGAGCTTAAAGGAACTGGGGATGGCCATGGCCCACAGGGCTAGTCTATGAGGTCACAAAGAGTTGGACGCAACTGAACAAATAAACAACAACAAATTTGTTGGCAGCCTCCCATCCAAGAACTAAGCAGGGCTGGCCCTGCTTAGCTTTTAAGATTAGACAGGATCTGGTGTCTTTAGCGTATTTAGGCACTGGATTGAGAAAAGATTATAGAGAAGCCATGGAAGCAGCTTATTCCCACCCGCCTATGAGGTGCTAGACCAGGTTGAATAGGTGGAAGCAATTTGAACTGAACCAAGAGGTATGGTACAAAGAGTAGGAATTAAATAGTAGGAAGTAGGGCCAAAGGGAGTTAAATACATTGAAAGCACGAAATCTAATCTAGGAAGCTAAGCAGGGCTTGCTCTGGTCAGTACTTGGATGGAAGACTGCCAAGGAAGGAACTGGCAAACCATTCATCCCTTTCCTAATTAAACTGTATGAAAAATTCACTGGGGACGATAAGTTGACAGGTGACTTGAAGACACATACACCCAGAGAACCAAATAATAAGCAACAGATACTCAAAACTGCCAGATCTCAGGAAAACCTTTCACTCTGAGTCAAAGCTCAGTTAAAATAAGAGATCTCTACATTCCTTTCTATCCATAGTCACAATGATTCACAGTGTGTATTACATGCACTTTTCACTCCTGGAGTACTAAATGTCCCATGTAACATTGGAAAATTAGTTCTTTTAATTTATTTTTTTATTTTCACACATTTGAGTTTCATATTTCATAGTATCACCTTTCGTATATAGTTTATATCCATCTTGCAGTACACTAGGATAAGTTAGCTATCCCTAAAGCTACTTTGTTGTATTATAATTATTGACTTATAGGATTGCAAAGTAGAGGCGAGACAATGCTTCCTATGTGAATCATCCTCTAAGAATGAAAGGATATCAGGTGGAAAAGACAAACAGGTTGACAAATGCAGACGGCAGGTAACTAACCTATCATTTGTCATCTTTATCTATGAGAAATAAGTCTTCCTTTTATTTCTCATCCGGTCAAATCTACAATTCCACATCCGGCTATAGGGATTTGTTCAAATACTCCTTTGTTTCCTAAGTGAAGCCTGTGACTTCAGAGTTCAGATGAGAGATTGTGTGTCCTTAAGACAGGCATTTTATGAGCATTGCTGAAATAGTTATGGCATGAAAGTTGGACAAATGTCACCCAGCATCTCCCAAACCTAAGGAAGCAGCCACTTTTCTGTATGATACATGTGAATCTATAGAACAGCCATGTAAAGGTGGGAAGAGGGAACGTTGCTTTGGCTCTGTGCCACCAAACAAAACAATAGGAGCAAGGCTTGCTTGTCCTTGGAGGTGTCAGATTACATGTCTGCAAAGCACTCCCCAAGAGATGACATTGCCAGATGAGCTACCTGTGTCTTTTACAGATAAGAAATCTCTAGGTAGGGTGGAAATAGCAAAGTAATAGTAAAGAAAGAAAGAAATCATTTTTCAAACACAAAGCCAGGAAGCCATAAATCTCTGCACTTACCTCCACAGGTGTAAAGGGCTCTCTGACCGAAAGGAGGGCTTAAGTGTATATTTCGTTGAGTTTGCAAAGCTCTGGGAAAGCTTTGCTGCTCTAGGGAACTGCAGCAAGTCTATGTGGATCAGTGTACAGAAGGAGGGGGACAGCGGAGGGACAGAGGGAGGGTCCAGAGGCAGGTGTGGATTTTCCAGTCTTTCTGCTGAGAGAATTAGTAGGATTCTTCCATTCAAGAGATGGGAGATACTGACGAAGTGTGGTGTTTCAATACAAAATAATGCAGCATGTTGCTACAATTGAAATTTTGTTCATGAGTACAGAATGCCATATGTTTTACATAAGTCATTCTTTCCTAATAATAATAATAATAATAATAATAATAATAATAATAATAATAATAATCTTTATTTAATACCCCACCACCATCTCCCCAACAGGGACTCGGGGTGGCTTACATGAGGCCAAGCCCAACAGCATATTACAATAAAATAAAAACTAAAACACAATAACAACACAGTAAAATACATAAACATATGAATACGACGGGATCCCAGCTGAACTGTTTAAAATCTTAAAAGATGATGCAGTCAAGGTGATGCATGCCATATGCCAGCAAATATGGAAAACACAAGAATGGCCATCAGACTGGAAAAAATCAACTTATATCCCCATACCAAAAAAGGGAAATGCGAAAGACTGCTCAAACTTCCGTACAGTGGCCCTTATTTCTCATGCCAGTAAGGTAATGCTCAAGATCCTGCAAGGGAGACTCCAGCAATACATGGAGCGAGAGTTGCCAGATGTTCAAGCTGGGTTTAGAAAAGGCAGAGGAACGAGAGACCAGATTGCCAATATCCGCTGGATAATGGAGAAAGGCAGGGAGTTTCAGAAAAACATCTACTTCTGCTTCATTGACAAGCCTTTGACTGTGTGGATCATAATAAATTGTGGCAAGTTCTTGGTGGGATGGGCATACCAAGCCACCTTGTCTCTCTCCTGAGGAATCTGTACAAGGACCAAGTAGCAACAGTCAGAACTGACCACGGAACACAGACTGGTTCAAGATTGGGAAAGGCGTACGGCAAGGCTGCATACTCTCACCCAACCTTTTTAACTTGTATGCAGAACACATCATGCGATGTGCGGGGCTTGATGACTGCAAAGCTGGGGTGAAAATTGCTGGAAGAAACATTAACAACCTCAGATATGCAGATGACACCACTCTGATGGCCGAAAGCGAGGAGGAGCTGAGGAGCCTTCTAATCAAGGTGAAAGAAGAAAACGCAAAAGCTGGGTTGCAGCTAAACATAAAAAAAAAACCAAGATCATGCCAACAAGAATGATTGACAACTGGGAAATAGAGGGAGAAAATGTGGAGGCCGTGACAGACTTTGTATTTCTAGGTGCAAAGATTACTGCAGATGCAGACTGTGGCCAGGAAATCAGAAGACGCTTACTTCTTGGGTGGAGAGCAATATCCAATCTCGATAAAATAGCAAAGAGTAGAGACATCACACTGTCAACAAAGATCCGCCTAGTCAAAGCCATGGTATTCCCTGTAGTAACCTACGGATGTGAGAACTGGACCTTAGAGAAAGCTGAGTGAAGGAAGATAGATGCTTTTGAACTGTGGTGTTGGAGGAAAGTGCTGAGAGTGCCTTGGACTGCGAGAAGATCCAACCAGTCCATCCTCCAGGAAATAAAGCCCGACTGCTCATTGGAGGGAAGGATACTAGAGACAAAGTTGAAGTACTTTGGCCACATCATGAGGAGACAGCAAAGCCTAGAGAAGACAATTATGCTGGGGAAAGTGGAAGGTAAAAGGAAGAGGGGCCGACCAAGGGCAAGATGGATGGATGGCATCCTTGAAGTGACTGGACTGACCTTGAAGGAGCTGGGGGTGGTGACGGCCGACAGGGAGCTCTGGCGTGGGCTGGTCCATGAGGTCACGAAGAGTCGGAGACGACTGAACGAATGAACAACAACAACAAAAATGATATAAAATACAAAACAAAATCATACACAGTAAAATAACAATGAGCGGGCTGCATGTGCAAGATAAAATACTAAAAATTCAGGATGAGATAGGAATGGAGCAGATTGTTTGTGAGGGAGAAACTCATAAAGAAATGGGTTCATAAAAATAGACCTTCATACACGTGGGGAAATATACTCTGGGGACAAAAGCGTTGAGGGGGAGCAACTGTATATGATAGTATGGCTACTCTCCAAAAGCGCATTGGAAAAGCCAGGTTTTGAGATCCCTCTTGAAAGTTTCTAAGGTGGGGGCATTCCTAATTTCACCGGGCAAAGAGTTCCAAAGTTGAGGGGAGCACAGAGGAGAAGGCTCTCTCCCTTGTGCCCACAAGATGAGCCTGTAATAATGGCAAGGGTGAAAGGAAGGCCTCCCCCAAGG